ACAAACCACTTAACTCAGACTGACGCCAGCTCACTAACAGTCGCGGGAGACCCCAAGCTAACACCACCTAGCAGCACAACTCGTAACTACAAAGCATGCGCGCGCAACAGGTCGTTCCCAGTTATTTTTGGGTCCCCCTTCGTATTGTATTACACTTCTGTGGCTCCTACTGGCTAATACATGAGAAAACATTTAGTTACATATGGTTTGTGCTAACTGGTCAAGTGGACTCAAACTGGCTGGCAACAACACGGCTTTAACATCATTTCTATTCAAAACCAGCTTACAGGTACTGAATCTCTAATTAAGGAAACATCAGGACAAAGCACATCTGTAACTAGTTCTACATATTGCATTAACAAAAGCAATTTTATACTACAGTAAAACTTGGTTATAGCAACATCTGTTTCTGCGACACCTTGTCTATTGCGTCAAATATTCAATGGTACGAACTAATTCCTCATAAAGCAACTGTTTTTATACCTTGCTTAGTACGACATGCACAAATGCATCAACCTCGTATGTAACGTCATTTTCATTCCTGAATTTCTCTGATATCGTGGGAAAGTTCGATGTGTCTGCCCACCCTCACTTTCTCTACTTGCTGACGTGACTGTCCTGGAAGAATACGACCGCGGGCTGCAAGAGGAGCGTGGGTTTTATGCGAGAACAAGGGTGTGGGGTGGGACTGCGTGAATAGTGGAAGAGGACGCGGCAGGTTGTTAACTGCATTCCTTTCCTAGAATCTCGTCTAACAGGACCTCACATTGTCTACTTACCCTATAGTGTTCCTGCCTAAACCCAGAGAAGTGCAGTAGCGAAAACATGGCAATGAAAAGAAAGTTTTAAGCATTGAAGAGAAAGTTAAAGTGATTGATGAAATAGAAAATGGAAGGAAAAAAGCTGATGTATGCCACGAATTTGGTTTGGTGAATTCTACAGTACAAACGATATGGAGAATCCATATTAATTCCACGTTAATGTTACGTTAGTCTGTACTTAACTACGTATTTCACTAAAAAATGCAACATTTTAACTCGGTTTTTGGTAGATTTTTACGTGACTAACATAAGGCTACTGTGGAAGTGCTCATTTCGGTTACAACGATATTCGTTTATAACGACACTATTTTTAGGTCCCTTTGATGATGTTATAACCAAGTTCTACTGTATATTCTTGATGACCAAATTAAAAGAAGTGTAGACCTTTTGCAAGGATTCATTTCCCAGTGGAATATCTAATATATTCCTGTTTGTTTCCTAGTAGGATCTAATGTTGTTACCTGTGAGTTCGCCTGCTGGAATCTGAACTCCTTTCTGCCCGCTGTCCTTCCTCATACAAGGCACCGACCTGACTATCAACAGCAGCAATATCCTCAACTACACGCTTCATAACAGCCCGAACTGTGCGCGGTTCAATTGTGTGCAACCAGTCACGTGTTTCAACTGATTTCCTCAACATCTATACAACAAACAATTATAGCATAATTGTATGTTTCATTTTCAACATTTTATGATTGATATACTCATATTATTCTAAATGAACCTGCCTGAGACACACTGAGCCCCTGCATCCTGACATAATGGTTCAGCAACTCTTGTGCTGCAGCTCTCATGCTGGTGCAGATTTCTGCTTCACTGGTGAGGATTCCAGATCCATGGCGATCTTCAATATTGAACCACTCATCAGTCTGACTTAACTGCAAAATTAAAACAAAACATTTATGTCCAAATTTGCAGTACACACAATGAGAAGTTGAACTTCTTGGTTTTTCTTAAAGTAGATGTACCAGAATACTGAAACTGCTTGTTTCTTACATCAGATATATTCAATAAATTCTAAGTTAATTAAATTTAATATGGTTGATGAAACTGATACATATACTGGACATTTTCTTTCATCTTCTTTTGGTTATAAGAAACATAGCCTTTCAATAGCTGACTCTACTACCATCATCAGTGAAGGTATGAAACCTACTTTGCTGGGTCTATTAGATGGGCTGGGGACAGAGATTAACTCTGTCCGATGGACCAACAAGGTAGATTTCATGCTGTTGCCTGGTGATGGAAGCAGAGCTAGTTTCAGAAAGTATATGTTTCATTTAATCAACATGAGATAATGGAAACGGCCCACCATATGTGTCACAGTCCTTCAGACTTCACCTGCACAGTCTCTTACCAATATCCAGGCATAAAGATCAGAAGGAAATGATGGGAAACAGGTGGATTTTATATTATAGACGAGTAGGTATTAAAGCATTAACAGTCATACAAGTTAGACATCTGTTACTGTGTATAATTTCAGCTACTGTATGGTTCTGTCCATAATAGTACAAAAAAGTAAGTCATTTTTCACTTCATGTGTTGTAAGTCTAAATATCGTTGGGATCACCGAGTTTCTGGACTTTGTCCGAATTCTAATACTCTGAAAGATTTAATATTTCAGAAACTGGATTTATTTCTGTCCTCAGTTGAAAAGGTCAGGAGATGCCTACTCACCTTTGCACTTGAGGCAGTTAAAAGATCCACTTTCCAAAACACTGTCCTCTTCCAGAATGCTAGACTGTGGACAAGCCCAGAAATTAAACAATCTCAAGTGTGTATGACTGAAAGAATCCTTTAGAATTGACTTCTAAATTTTCTACAGTGAAATCTTGAAGCAGTTCTCCTTAAATATAATGCAGTATTCCTGCAGCTGACTTAAACTTACCAAATAGTGAACACTGGAAGTCTCAAATTCCAGACACATTTTTGAAAGCAGGAGTAATAAGGCTGGAGGAGACTTTGAATCGCCAGACACACAGAAGCCTCGTGCGGTTGCTGTCAGATGATGCAGAAAGCCAACCACCAGATCCTCACGTACATTATCTATACAGAATACCTCACAGAAATGAGGTTTCAAGCCAAATGTTAAATCTGGCTGTGAGAAAATCTGGAACATGGAACATTATTTTCACTCGTTTGCTGCTTTAAGTTACAAACTGTTGAAAATGATGTGGTAGGATGCTTCTAGTGGCAAATCATGAAGGGAAGGGAATTCTTATACTGTGAGGTTTGAGATTTCCACGGCAGAGGATATTAAAATTATGGCCTTCTGGGATGTGACATCATGTACTTTAGTAGACAGGTACCAACATTTTGAACAAACCTGCTGTCTCTGTCTCCAGGATAAAAGAGTAGTGAATATTCAGTGTGGCAAGAGGCAATCATACCTCATTATATCCTTCCTTTCTATGCCTTGATCACACAACTGGTTTCTTGCCTTCCAACTGAAGCTTTGCATGACATTCCCCGATTTAATCCTTTCACAAATTATGAAGCTCCTCATTATGCAGTCTTCTCCTCTTACTCTCTCTTAGATCCAAATACAGGGTTATTAAAAAAGAATGAACCGATTTTATTATGCAATATTTTATTAAAGGAAAATAATACAAAACTCCAGCCAAGTCACAAGTATTCTACTCACAATCAACTTTTATTTTGTCTTACAAGTGTTCAATGTGGCCACCACCTGCAGCAAGGGCAACATCAATGTGATAAGAGAATTCCTTCCAGGCGTGCATCAGCATATCACGATGCACTGAGTTAATCGCTGTTGTTATTCGATGTCTAAGGTCATCGAGGTTAGTGGGTAGCGGTGGAACATAAACGTGATCTTTTACATATCCCCACAAGAAGAAATCATACATGGTGAGGTCTGGGGATCTTGCAGGCCAAGCACAAAGAGCAAGATCTTGGGCCTCCTTCCGACCAATCCATCACTGGGACACTTTTTCATTTAAAAAAGCTTGGACCATCAGGTGCCAATGGGGCAGTGCTCCATCTTGTTGAAAAATGAAGTCATGCGAATCTGCTTGCAGTGAAGTGAAGAGCCAGTTTTGGAGCATATCGAGATAGGTTTGTCCTGTAACGGTGTTTCCTTCAAAGAAAAAGGGACCATAAACCTTGTCCTGAGACACAGCACAGAAGACGTTCACCTTAGGGGAATCTCTTTCATGCTCAACTGTTTCATGTGGGTGCTCTGTTCCCCAAATATGCACATTGTGACGATTGACTGTGCTGCTCAAGTGAAAAGTCGCTTCATCACTAAAAATTAAACGTGAAATGAAGGTTTCGTCTTCCATCATTTCCAGCATCGAATCGCAAAATTCCATCCTCCTCCTTTTGTCGTCATTGGTAAATGCCTGAAGGAGCTGCAGTCTGTATGGTTTCAAATGTAGACATACTGTTAGCACACGCCAGACAGTGGACTGAGGGATCGCAAGCTCACGGCTAGCTCGATTTGTTGACTTCAGCAGGCTCGCCTCAAATGCAGCACGGATTCTCGCCACTTGTTCCTCTGTTGTCCTGGACTTTTTCCTTTACACAGACACCCACTCTCTTGAAACTGTTGAAACTGTCGAATGTTCTTAGGACAGGGCGGATTAATGCTGAATCGCCTTCAAAAAGCACACTGCACCGTGACAACCAAATTTCTTTTCGCAAACTTGAGAACGCAGAACACCTTTTGCTGAGAACTCGCCATTCCGAGGGTAAATGAACAACTGAACATTGCCGGAAGAACGATGCGACTTCAGCGCCCCTGTGGCAGCCATTCACAACTTAGATAACTCCTCTTTCAAATGGTCACTGACTCATTCCATGACAATGCTTGAGAACTGGAGCAGTGCATCATGAAATCGGTTCATTCTTTTTGAATAACCCTGTATTTTCTTCAGCACCCTGGTCTCAAACTCCTCAGTCTATGTTCTTCCCTTAATATGACAGACCAACTATCACACTCATTTCTACACTTAAACTTTAGGTGTTCAAGACTAGAGATATGAAGATGATTTTTACCCGAATGGTTGCTGATGTACTGATAATCTACTGTACCTTTCTTTGCAATGATAACATACAGAAATGGGGAAAATCTGAGGAAAAGGCAGAGAAAGGAGAGGAGGAAAAGAGGAATGGCAGGAGAGGGAAGAAGTGGAGAACAACAATAAGAGAGATAAGCAACAGAAGAAGATGAGGAGAAAAATGAAGAGAGCAAGGAAAGAAAGAGGAAAGAAATGGAAAATGAGGAACAGGATAACAATTATGCTATAATGAGTAAACACTCCCCAATCAGAGAAAACCATTGCGACAACAATTTACAGCACAGGTTTAGCAACATGCTACATACAGAACTGACACATCAAGGTTTCTGTATAGGAATCATTTCTATGAAGGAAACATACCAGAAGATCTTGCAGAACACCTTTCACTTTTTCAACAGTGGCTAATACAAGAGAGGTGAGCAGTTCTGAGAGACTTGTGGAACCATCTCCATCTTGGCTGATGAGCTTCGGAGCAGCGAGGCTCTGCCTCACTTGAGCCAATGTGTTAGCAAAGTGAGCCTTCAAAGCCTGCAGGTGGAAGCGACACTGGCGGCGTCCAGCACGTAAAACAATCTCTGTTCCAGTTCTTAAAATGGAGGAAGGCAGAGGTTAGTTCCACAACTAGCAACGCGATACTGTTGTCTTAATAACAATTTGTATAAACAAGTTGTGTCCACTGCTTTCCATCTACTGTGCAATCATAGTCATGCAAGTGGGATAAGTTACCATGCATTATCATCGCATTCTATACTGTTCTCGTTCAGTATGTTCCCACCACTGCAGCACTACTGTTTCAGTTTGCTTTTCTCTTGTAAAGATTTTCATCATGTTTTCCCTTTACTGCATGTTCCTTCATGTTACATCACCTGCATGATTTTATGATCACCCTGTTGAAAATACTGATAAATTTGGGATATGAGAACCTTATGTTCATTTTGATAAAATGTCTTGTCTGCATGGATCAACTCTATGAGACCTGAGGTTCCCGCAGCATGAATGTGTCCATTCGAGAGAAGGCTGGGTGGGCCACAGAGTTGGCCTGGATGCAATGGCAAATTGTCAGGAAAAGAAGTGCTTAAGAGAAGCTTTCTAAAGAACTGTCCTCTACATAAATAACTGTTCTTGTTACCTGGCAAAGTCTGTATCAGAGAATAAAGTATTCATAGCTTGAAGCCTGCGATGGAAACGATCGAGCGCCCGCACCAGCACCACTGTGTCTCCTGATCCACGCTCTTGTTCATGTTCTACTCGTTTTCCTACCAGACTGAAATAGTGTTCCATATTGCGCAGCACAAAATTTCCCAGCTGCGACAGCGCCACAGAATCCAATTCATCACTGACAACAAAACACAGATGTACAGTATCTGTCTGTCCATCCCCTTCAGTAACTTTTTATGGGGCTTACGCATCAACAGGTGACCTATGTAACTGAGAAAGTTACTGCCACCTTGTCTGTTGGTGCATGCATAGTCAATTTGTACTTTGTCTTCAACAATAAATTGACAATTGTCAATGTGCTGTAATAACTACAACATGGCTTTGGATCTGCCAAGAAATGAAGAGGGGGCAATTAATTTTATTACAGATGTGGAATTGTTCTGAGCAAATGCAACTAAGAGAACAAGCATTCTATGAAGCTATGCATCAACAATCCAGTTTGCTGGCAGTGCACCACAGAAGATTGTGGGAAGAAGGTCAACATGCATCTTTGAATTTGGTTTCAGAATAGTCATCTCTCCTTTATTACAGCTGTTTGTTTTACATATGGATGGTACCAGCAAATTAATTTTATTTTCTGAATAAATCTTAAAAAGGAAAAGTCACAGATGTAGGCCATAAAAAACTTTGTGTCACCTGTTAATATGCTAAGCATCTGTTTGAAATGAGGACTTTATCATCAGATATTTGCAATTTACGTTCTTCCCCTGAAGTGACCACTTTTCAAAACAGTGTACTCGTAAAACAACTTCACTTTAAGAGGAATATTTTTTAATGCCTGGAAAATAGAATGATCAGAGTTTTGAACTGAACAACAAGAATAATTTCCTAAATGTACTCTGAATTTCATCATGAATCTGATTTCTGTTCCTTTTTAACAGGAAGCTATGAAAGATAACACAAGGTACGTATACATACCACTGTTGAATGTTGTGTAGGCGAGGTCTGTTGATGAACATGTCATTGTACGAGGCTACAACCAGGCAAAGGTCACTGAGAAAACCCGAACTTCCAATATCCACAAATTCAATAATATCCTGAAACAAAGAGTGGCATTACATATCTAACATTAACATTACCTAAATATTGCAGACAGAGGGTGGTGCTACATTTGGAGTTCAAATCTCAACTTCTAGACTGGCCATCCTGACTGGAATTTTCATGGTTCTTCAGTCTCTCCAGGAAAATATCAGGGATAAAGCTGGTAACATTTACACGATTAATGCCTTTCCCAGCTAGATCCTTTTTAAATTACAAATTTGCAAAGTAAAATCTAAAACACTAAACAGAGTTTTAGCTCTTTTAATTTGGAACTGTCTGTGATGTTTTGAAGAACCTCTGAATTTTCAAAAGTTATGCCTATAAAGGGCACATTCAATTGAAAATAATTTTGGTTAAAGAAACGTGACATTTTTGAAGCTGCCTCTGCTTCAGATATGAGGCAAAAGTATGAATTATATTTTGCTGGGTCCACAGAAGGAGCCAACCCTTGTTCCTGTCTGGGGACAAAAGCCAGGACTTGAGGTTTACACTTACTTTTGAGATGAACTGACCTGGTCTTGCAGTCCCTCTAGCAGAGTTAGCTGTTCACCCAGTCGAGTCTCAGCATGTGCCAGAAACTCAGCACATAAGGAATCTGCTGGTTCTTGCAGCTGAAGCAGCAAATCAACTGACTCAGCTAGTTCCTTTGCTGAAGCCTGTGACCAAAACCAGAAAGCAGATCTTAGGAGTCATCATTATTTAGTTACAGTCACTTCTTACCACACGTAAAAGAGTTGATACTGTAGTTTCAGAAATTACTACATACAGGTAGATACATTATTTTATCAACAACAAGGAACCTAGAAGATACAGCATTCACACTGTATTGCCATACTGAACAAATGACAAAGGGAAGATTATTGAAAAAAGCACTGCACTGGTCATCACAACAAAAAAGATGGCAAAGATATATGTGGAACATGTTCTAGTGACTAGATATGGGGTTTAGATTGGTAATTGGGTTTACTGAACACTTATATATTGTAGCTACAGGTAACTGCTCTCACTAATTCACACACTCTACATCTCACTATAGCACGTGTTAAATCTTTTCAGCCTGCTGGTCACCAGTCACTGCCTACTAATGTCCTCTGCTTCCATGCTCATGGCTGAATAGTATGCCATTTCTTTTGTTATGATATGGGTTCCATTGTGCATATTTCAGGACTCATACTCTTCTCCGATGTAGTCTTTTAAGTCGCTTTGGAGTCAAATAAGGTTTGTTGTAGAAGTCATCACTAATGGTGGCAGTGTACCTGGTTCTCTGGGTGCTTCCTGCTCCAGTAGCATGTTCTCTGCACCAGTAGTTTCCATGTCCATGTCAGTAGTTCTAAGAGGTGCGAAGAATTGATGAGTTAACAATGCTTTTTGAGGCATCTTGGCAACTGTGGATGTTAGGACTGGTTTAGTCAACTTCTTGGCTGCCTGTTGCATCTCTTTACTTTCTGGAAGTTGTTGTCCTGGGCTCCTGATTCTACTGAGGTTTTGTTTACTGCACCACTCTGTCCTGCCTGTGCACTCACCTTCAGGAAGATCACGACAGCCTTTAGTTCAGTGTTACCGCATACATGCTGTAAAGAGCACTAGAAGGTGATTTCCCATCCAAACCTTTGCAAAAGTTTACTGTGTTCTCCTTCACACTATTCAAAACAGAGGTTCACTCAAGAGCTTTTGCTCAGTTTAACCGGTGTGCAACCAGAAAGATTCTCAGTGTCACTGACTTCATGTACTCGTTGCACTACAGATGCTGCTTCTGGGTATTTATTCATGATGGCATGACATTCTGATTTCATCAGTGCTAGCTCCAGTGTCCAGCATTTCTACAACTCACTACTGGAATGATCATCATCTTGGTGTACACTCAAGTTCCCCGCACTGTTCGTTTTTCTCACTAACTCTCATTAACTACAACAGCTCAACTTCTCTTATCCTCCTCTCAAACACCACGGTACATGCTGAGTCTGCTAGTCTTCTCGAGTCGCTGCTTGGTAATGGTCTTCAATAGGCATATAGCTCAAAGAGAACACTGTTTCCAACACTGTCTATGATTGTTGCATCCATATCCGTTGCATGGAAATGTGTTTACCCAGCCGATGTCTTGCAATGGAACACTTAATCATGTCAAAATATATGAAATCCACTCTGGTAGGCCGAGACTGGAGGTGTACCTTTTCTTTTTGATTATTTAATGATGCTTTCAGTGGCCAGACTATATTGTGTCAAATGAATGGATGAATGATTACTGATGAATGGGAAAGGACTTATATTTAATTTTAGAAATACACTTCCTCTGAGGAAGGGGAGGGGGAAGATTTACTTTCACTATGGTGGGACTACAATTTATCAACAAAATGACCAGTGGGATGCACAAGGCTGAGAATCACAGGCTTACAATATGATCCAATGGAACACTACTGTGCTGTACACTCACGTTTTAATACAAGATTGGGTCAGTACAGTCAGGGCACAACATCTGAAAGTTACCTCCTTGCTTTTAAATTGATCTCGCAACTTTTGTTTCAGTTCCTCAACAATGGCTTCACAGTCACTCTGAATGCCTTGAAAAGATGCCATGTTGCCATACTGCTGTAAGACTCTCTGAGCACGTATGTAATCTTGCACTGCCTGAAGTAACAATATAAACAGAAAACATATTACCTCTGATAAGTCACACCTCTGATTTACCACACAGAACAAAGATAGCATCATTTGTTCTAAAAGGGCAGATGCCAGCCACTTCTCAGATGAGACAAGAAGTGTTTAAGTTTTTCTGGCAAAAGAATAAAAGTTTAAAATCTCAAAAAAGAGACTGCAGCAAGAACTATGTCATCTACTTTTCAAATGCTTCAATCTGTGTGGTAAAGCTAGCCAGAGCTATAAATCAGCAACTAAACAAGACTACCACCTTCTGGGATGTGATGTTATAGAGTCCAGCAGAAATTCGAAAATGTTTTGAAGAAACATACTGCCTCCACCTTCAGGGTTGAAGAATAAGCCAAGCAAGCTGCATACCGAAAACCTGATTCAGGTATATGCCTAGACAAGTGACCAGAGAAAACCACTAGGGGCAAGGAAGTTGGAGGCTTTATGTCCCTCTGAAATGTCACCAAGCTTCTACCAGACTACATGGTGTAATATCCAGTAAGATAGCACTCATCATAGTCATTTCTATGAGAACCTCAAACCCACCAATTATTACACAATTTAGTCAAACATTTTTGCATATAATTTCCACTACAACATAATTTGACTATGTTTTTCTCCACTGTTACATTCTGTAGTTCCTGAAAGCTTGGCTGATACATCATTTGTGGGTATGCTTATGATAGGTCTCCATGGATAGCTCTAATGGTTCATGGTTCCCATCAAACAGAAGCTACTTACTCACTCTGTGTATGTGCCAGCTTCTTTCTTACATTCTACAAGAAGTTACTTGAAAAAACTGCCTTAATTTTGAAGATATGTTATCACATGAAAATTCAGGACATTGAAATTAAGTGGAACCTGTGTTGCTCCTTTCACGGAAGGTGGGAAGTTAGAGCATAGACAGACTGGGTCACCTTCAGTTGCAAGATGTTCATACAAAGATTCATGAAAATCTGTCAATTAGTTCAGAAGTTACCAGGGGTGAGTTGGCATACAGACATGATAATAAACAGACTAAACAGATGACAGATGATGTACCATTGCATACTGTCAGGAAGATATGTATTACTTTGCTCATCTGTATTTGGAATGTTTTGTGGGGCCTGCAAGATCCATCATAAACTTTCAGCATTTCATATACATGCCTGAGAATAATTCCCTTCCTGAAGTGTTGCTTTCAGTTTTCCTGGCAACTTGAAAAGGAACTGGAGACGTTTAAGCAAGGAATGCACACCTGAAAGTTTAGTAATTTGCTGCCTTGTATCCTGAAACAATTTAAAATCATCACCAAAATTATATGGATCATCGAAATAGAAAATATCAAAAGTACAAAACAAATTCTAGGACACGCTTCATAAACCCAACTTCAAAGATGTTTTCTGAAGTCTGCACAAGAAATGAGAGACATGTTCCTTAACTGGAAACTTCCCACAGCAGTGACAGGCTTGCTGACATAGGAAAAGAACAATGGAATGCAAGAACGTATGCTTCCTCCACTAATGTCAGATTCATGCAGCATATAAGTGGCAATATCCTACAATTTGTTGTATGCTCCCTGTACAATTGCCTCTCAACCAGGAGACAGATATTAGCTCTGTGTGCATATGTGTATAATATAAACCCACCAATCAACACTATACCTGTAGTGTGCATGATATCTGTTCAGAGAATGATGTAATAGATTCCATGTTTGCTGCCAGGAGATCCATTTCATCTTCCATCTTCTTGAAATCACTTTTCATCTGCAACAGGCAGAAAAGCAGGAGTTTAAAAGCTATAATAAGACATCTACACATTAGTGTATTCAGTATAGTGACTGACTACAGGCTGGACAACCAAGGGGTCAGAGTTTGAGTCCCAGTAGGGTCAACAATTTTCTCCACATTGTCCAGACTGGCTCTGGGGTCCACCCAACCTTCTATCCAATGGGTACCAGGGGATAAAGTGGCTCGAGCATGAAGCTGACCACTCACTTCCAGCTAGTGCCAAAATTAAAAAATGGGGATCTATACATTCACTCGCCCATACACCTACATGGTGTAGTGCTTAATTAATTAAGCACAGGGACAACTTTTCCTTCTTTTTTTTTTTTACACATCATTCTATCTTGAGCAGCAAATTCAGATCCTGGCCAGTAATCTGTCGATTTGATGAACTTCTTATTTTCAGCAGCTAGAAGTATAAATCTATGATTAGCATTTTGCACTCCAACTGAAGTTTAGCATCCCTCCTCAGTCCTCCCATGCAAATACTAGGATACTAGCTTACAGCAGACCTACCAGAGATTGTATGAAGATATAAATTGGCAAAAGTTTCTTGATCTGTTCCTGTGGTAATCAACTGAACTCAGTTCCATTCAAGACATTATCCCTTGCTGCAATCAAGTAGACCTGATCAACAATTTTAAGTCTTACTGTGCAAACTGCATTCACTTGATGCTTTCCTAATCGTCTGTATAAGCTTCTAGTGTCTTGTGGAGATAGTTCATACTGTGTTACTTCATATTTTGGTTAGTGAATTATGGAAATAATCATCTGTGTCTACACTCTTGCTTCCATCATATGATGGCAGCCATGAAACATGCAATTTATTTATGTGAAATATTCCAGAATCCCTAAAGGAAGCAGATTCAAATGCTAGTTTCAAGAAGAGTGATAGTAAATATAAATATGCAAGTCATTCCACACTGGCCTCTGTGAAACAATCACTGAAAATGATTCAGGACTGGGCAAACCAACACAGCACTTACAGTGAGGGAAAGGAATGAAGTCCCATGGATTGAACTACTCGACATCTTTCTCCTTCAGTACGTTCCCTGTATTCCCTGCCAATCATCTAGCCATTCTGATAACAAAAATGTTTGTAGCAATAACCATGCCATAAACCTGGGCTGGCTGACATACAGGGTGTTTCATGACTTTAGGGCATAACTGCAGAAGGTGATTTCCTAGGTCTTTGTGATCAAAAAAGTTCATATAAACATGTGTCCGGTTTTGGATGGTTACAGAGTTATGACTGTTTTAAACTCAGAATAGAAGGTAACTATTACTGACAATAAATGGAACAAAATAATAAACCAACATAATATATGATACATTTAAAGTATGAGTGTAAAGTTAACTTCGTGAAATTACCTTTAATTTGAAGTTATTGGTGCTTAAAGCTGATTTTCAAAAATGCCACCGCCGGCCGCAACACAGGCTGCCGCTCGGTTGTGAACCGCGCCGGACATACTACCCCCCCCCCCCAGGCCTAAGGTAGCTCTGAAGTGTCGAGATAACGAGAACGCCCTGTCTGTAGCTGGCTAAAAATAGCGACCCGCCAGCTGACAGCCGTGGTTCACATGAGGGTGCGTACGGGAATGAAAAAACAGTCCTAACTCCGTAACCGTCCAAAATCAGACACATGTTTATATGAAATTTTTGATCACAAAGACCTAGGAAATCACCTCCTGCAGTTATGCCCTAAAGTCGTGAATCACCCTGTATGTCAGAGAAGGCTGGAGGAGAATGTCACACTAGGCAGACAGCACAGTCATCTGTGACACCGCCTACTTGTCATGTGCCTCTCAGAAGGCTCCATGTGCAGGAAATGTGAAGAGGACGTGCAATCCTCCTACCATATACTTTGCCAATTCCCAGGTATGACTAGACACATGACACTTCCTGTTCCACAGTTAGAACTGAAGGATATCAGGTCTTGGTCATGATAGTTTCAGATACCAGTTTCCAACCTTTTTTTGTCTGCGGCCCAAACTTTGAGACCACATTCACCTTGTAAACCAAATGGCACAAAATACTTTCTACATGCACATTTACAGTAATTTTAGCTATCAATTTTCTTGATTATTTCTGGAGCTCATGACCCAACTGAAGGCCCTTGTCCCTCAAGTTCAGGTCACATCCCTGGGTTAGGAAACCCCTGATTTTGGTTCTAGGATTACAGTCAGGGGTCTCTGATGAGCTGCAGCAAGACCATGGGTGCCCAATGGATCCAGCATTGACCTGAGCACTTGAGGTGACTGAAAGTTGTTTCCCACCATCCACGAGAGTTCTTTCCATTACCTCAGCATAATAACATGGCAATGAAAAGGTGAAATAGACCAAACTGCAAAAATTAGATAACAAATGAATATATATGGTTGCAGATACCTTTCTTATGGTGTCTGTAGCCGAGATGAATTTGTTGTAGTTATCGTACACAAGGGTCTGCATGTCTGAGTGCAGTGCTTGTATATCTTGTACAATCTCAAATTTGTGATCCATGATCTCGTTCAACGAGCGTTCCTGAAACAATTGTTACACATAAAACCAAAATTTTCCAGTACACACAGAACATATGTGTAGAGCAGCCATGTCAAACATGCAGCCCCATAGCCACAAAGTGCAGCCCCTCAACTTTTAGAGCTAATTGATATTAAAATCAATATTATTTTAGTAGAAATATTTTTTGTAAAGACAATTTTCCAACAAGACCAGAAGACAAGAAGTCTCACGCAGACATAAATTAGCAGGCTGCAAGAAAAGTGATTCTGATAATTGCAGAAGGGTTTGTCTAACTAATGGTTTGTAAAGTTCGTGAAGGACAAACTATTGTATTTCAGAAGGTTAATGCACTAAAATGGGCACAGCCTCACCACCCCAAGTATTTCCAAGAATCTCTTTTGGAGGCATAGTAAGAATGTAAGGAGGGTGGCAAGGGATTTCTACCTTCAAAACTAGCTTGCAACCCCCAGCCATTGTCTAATGGGCTGCTAACAAACTTTCACTTTTATGAACTTTGAGACAAGATACACCTTCCTACTAGTCCGGTAGTCTCTTGTACATTATCATTCAGTTCTTCTTCATACAGCGACAGGTGCTGATGTTACATTGTGATGAATGAATAAAGGTTATAATTAAACATTAAATTATCAACTACGACTTTTCTTGTATATGTACAGTAACTTTTAAAGGCACTGTCGCTTTCAAAAAATTAAAGTAGCAAAAGAAGAACTATTGAAATGGAGCACCGTGTTTTTCAAGAAAAATGGGAAATCGCTTATTTCTGTTGTGAAATAGAAGGTAAAATTACATGTTTGATTTGTGGGCAAAATATAAGTGTTCCACTTTAGGTAATTATATTGAAATTATTCCTAATTAATAAATAGAATTAAACTTCCTTGTATCAAAATCTAATGTATACTTCTATTTTGAAGTGCAGCCCTGGACTATTATTTATAGGGCTGAGGTGGCCCTCTGTACAAGTTGAGTTTCACATGCCTGGTGTAGAGGGACCTTAATCCTCTCGGTTGTTAGCAATGTCACTGGAAAATTAAATTTCTGCAGAATGAACATGTGTATCTTGACTGGACAAATGGTGTTGGCAAAATGCTTTCACATCTCACTTTCTGAGGCCTTAACCATATATTAATATGTCAAATATAAATGACATAATTACCACCAAACAGTAAGTGTAATGATCACAGACTATATCTGGGAGTAGTCATTCTGCATTAAGAGAACCGTTTCAGTTTAGGCTGGAGTCTGGAAACTGAGCAGCACTTTTTAGTTGATCTGGTGGGAGTAAGGAACAACATAGAGGCACACCTCTACACATTCAGTCAATATTATACACAATTACTGAGTTATTGGACATCATCCATCATCCTGTTTTGTATTAATTTAAAAACGTTTTGGAGACTGGACTTATCTGTCTTCAGGTAAAAACATTTTATGTAGAATCACTAAAGAACCCAAGAATCAACTCATCATGTTAGAACACAATATCAGATACTCATTACTGTTTATGGGTGCTTTATCTTGGTATCAACTATCAAGGGGAGACCTCCACAACATGTGGAGAACACAGTGCATGCATCAGGAGCAAATATCCATGTCGTACATGGGATTCGAGCTTGTTATCCTTGGGCCATACTGCAGCGAGATTCGAACACGCAAGCTTTAGACAGCGTAGATGACAGGGTCGACAGCGACAAATCGACTTTATTACTTTCTATCGCAAACGGCTTTCACATATAAGAAAGGTTATCTGACAACGATAATAAAATGTTATTTTATACCTGTATTAGCTTCTCTAAATACATATCTGGATTAAAATGTTGCCCATTAATGTCATACGGACTTGGAATCGGTTCGCCCATTTTGGCAATATTTACTATATAAAGTGAACACCGTTATATTGAAAGCTCACTTTCCCAGTAATCGCTAGGATCGCTAGTAACTCTGAACCTTATCCAGAACGTTATTGTCGTTATCGTCGTTATTGTGTATCACAATAGAACACCATCGAAATACATTACAACTATTCCATAATTCTTCTGGATTCAAAATATGAAATTTCCTCATTGCAGGTTTTAGCACATTATATTCTTGAACTTTTAACCAACACTAACTTTGTTCAAAGGGAAATTTGACATGTTTGACATTGTCAGAAAGAAATTTATTGCTTGTTGCAAAGTGGCGTAAGTTTTGTATTACAGCATGGCGTTTGATATTCTAATACGGCCTGTTCGGTGGCAATTTAAGCAAATTTATACGTATGGAAAATTAATTAAAATTCACTTTAATTGTTTGGGATGTAATAGCGTGGTTGGAAAACAATTTTTAGTCACAGATTCTGGCAGAATACGTTATGGTACGAATCCGCAGAATGGATATTGGACATTGACGTCAGCTGTTCTTGGACTGGGTGTAGGGTTAGGTTATTGGTTTCAAAGTGATAATTTAAGGAACTTGAATTTCTTGCCAGTGATAGAAGCAGCAAAGCCAGTGGATCAAAATGTCGAAGCAGTAGGAAGTTCAGATAAAGTTGGATTAAGATCCAGACATAATTTTATAGCAGATGTTGTTGAAACTGTGGCACCAAGTACAGTATACATTGAAATCAAGGATACTAAAAGGTAATGACTGTTGCAGTTGTTTTGCTGACAGAAACCTGTGGTTATCATCCTCATTTTTTAGACTGTGGTGTGTTAATATAACGCTAGAAGTGTTACATAATGCCTTTCGTTCATAACAAACATTTTGCTTGTGTCCACTTTGTATATAACTATATGTCATGTAACATTAATGATACAGTGATGTGAATTATTAACAGAAATATTTATGATTCTTTTTTTAATTCAAGTTTTAAATGTTTTCAGGTTAGATTTTTTTACAGGTCAACCTGCCAGTGCTTCAAATGGCTCAGGTTTCATAGTGAGAGAAGATGGCTTGATTTTAACAAATGCCCATGTTGTGATCGGCAAACCTCACAGTAAAGTGCAAGTATGCATGTGTTCTTTATTTTAGGATTCTCACTTCACTGTCTCTGTGCAGCTCTGTCCATATATTAAATTCACACTTCGAAGCTCTTTGTCTCTTCTTCTTACTTATTTTACACTACATGTTTCTTCCCAGATGGCCATCATCGGGTGTATAAGATTTCAGATGAAAACTGCTGCTCTGTTATGCTGTTGTATTTTGCATTTCATGAGTAATGTAAAATGCCTGTAAAATATGTTATAGGTTATTTTTTATTGTGGTTACTTTTGTTTGTACATCAGCAAAAGTAACCATGATAACAAAACTGTAAATTCCCATGTGCTAAAAGTTGCAAAGAAAAATATTCCAGAAAAGAACTTGACTTTGCATAACCACTGAACTTCACATTTAAGAAGTAATTAGAAAATCCCACCCCCTGGATGACACTGTGAAAGTGGAGGTGCTGAGTTCCTTTGAAACATTAATAATCACTTGAGATTAAAAGATGTCTTTAAACTGTTATACATTTCTGTTGATTGAACCTACCTAAATGATCAAAAAAGTCAATATACCCCCCCCCCAGCTGATTGAAATAAATTTCTCTTTACATATATGACATTGCAGCCAAGGTAACCACAGTTTTAATATTCAAGTTTTTCTGCTGTGTTCTGCTGAACATCTCTGTAATATGTTATTTTTTTGTTCTCTTTAGTCCAGCACCAAGCCTGTTATATGAAATTTTTGTATTATTGTTTCACACAGCATGAAAACTAGAAATGATATTTTTCTGTGGTGTATACTTAAAAGAAATGACATACTCAGCTGTGTAGTCCTCTAAGAACCTTAACCTCCTCTACAGCAGACATCTATTTTTCTCTGTTATTTGCTTTTTTCCTCCATCCATATCATTTCAGCTCTCGTAAATCATTCTCTGCATCATTCACAGAACTATTCGATAAAAGCTGTCAGCTGTAATAACTTGTGGCACCTCGCTGGCAGTGAGAGGTAAATGAAGGTGAATGACTTGCCATGAGGAATGTTCGGTTCAGTGATTAACACATTGACTGCCATTGTGTTATGAAACTTATGTCAATTTTACACCATTTTGAATTATCACAGATGATTCCAAGTGTTGTGACACCCATGAGGCTTGCTGGATACAATACCATAAGCATCCAGCAGTTTTGACAAAGGCATTTTCCATGTATCCAAGCATTACTCATAGAGAGTGTCATCTTTTGCAGCACAGTAGAAGGGTATGGAGAAGAGACAGTGCCTACTGTATCAGTACGTTGATATTTGGCATTGAATCATGGTTGGATATGTTGAGTGTGTTGATGGATTTGTAGTCTTTATTCTAGCCTACATATTACTTTTGCATGTGTTGCTTATTGAGTCCCAGTTGGATAAAGACTACAAATCCATCAGTAAACTCAACATACCCAACCACGATTCAGTGCCAGATATCAAGTATTTTAAATATATATAAAGGAAAACAGTTACAATGTTTTGAACCCAGTTAATAGCCATAAGCCAGAAATAATCACAGGAAACAACAAGCACAGCATGACCAACAGAGAAAATCTATACCTTATTTAAACTAAGGATGAGAATTAACCAATAAAAATATCCAGAATATGATATTTCCATAAGTTTAATGTTTTAACTTTTTGATATATTGTTTAATATTTTTAATAAGTTTTAAATGCTTGTTTAATACATTTTAAACCAGTTTAGGTTCAGTATAGAACCACTAATTTGTGCATATAAAGGTGATTAGTGAAAGTGAGAGAAGGATGCCTTATTTTTCGTTTTATTTGTAACACACAACGATAAACACAATATATGGATCCATATAGAAGGCACAGTTCAATAGTATAAGGCATGGCAATGTATCGCCTGATGATGGCTCCATGAGCTGANTGATTCATAGGTTAGTTTTTATTTGGCAGCCAGTTGCATCAGACGTGTTTCGTCTTTCTCGATACAATGGAAAAAGTGCAATATCGATCCGTAATTCACTTTTTATTTTTGGATGGAAAAACATGCGAAGAAATAAAAGTGAAGTTGGATGCTGTCTGTGGGGATCCTTCACCATCTATGACAACCGTGAGATATTGGTTCAACGAATTTAAACGTGGTTGTACATCTGTACATATATACTAGGGGGGTTCAAAAATGATTGACACAAAATGTTTTTTTTTCACAGTAACCATTTATTGGAACAAAATACATATAGATTATATTAGAGGTATTCCCTGCCAATGCCTATGCACCTTTGCCATCGTTCCGGCAGTTTCCGTATTTGCACAGCAAACCATTCTTTGGGGGTATCCCGGTGCCACTGCTGGACAACTGCCTGAAGTTCATTGATGGAGGTGAACGTCTTAGCCAGCATGACGTCTTTCATTGCATTGAATAGGGTGTAGTCACTCGGGGCAAGATTGGGTGAGTATGGCAGATGAGGCAGCACGGTGTACCCTAGAACACCCAGGGTGGCAATGGTCTGCTGACTGCCATGTGGCCGCGCGTTTTCATGTTGGAGAAGAATGCTGGGCCCCAATTTTCCGTGGCAGCATTGCTGAATGCATCGGCAGAGTTGGTGCAGTGAATTGCAGTACTGATCACTGTTGATGGTCATATTGGGGGCAGCCAATCCAACAGAAGGATCCCCTCCTGATCCCATAACACAGTCACCATTTGCTTCCAGACGAATAGTCCTGATTGTGACTTCTTGGGAGGAGGGCTCCCAGCGTGCTTCCACTCCATGGACTGTAGTTTCTTTTCTGGAATCTCATGCCAGAACCATGACTCGTCGATGGAGCAGCCACTCCTTCCCTCCAGAGAAACCACACAGTCCACTGTTGCCTGTGATTGTCTGCTTCCATGTTGTCTGAGCATTGTCCATGACTGCACCTGTACACCGCCACGAATGATGCAGCACTGTTCAACCTGTGCGCAGTAGCAACGTCATCTCATGGCCATAGGTGTTACTATAGTATGTTTTCCCACATACACCGGCTCGCATCTGACACTGCTACTTCATTTTTGCGTTCCTTAAGACTAGACCCTATAGTTGTCAGATTTTCGAGAATCACATCATGAATGAATTTGCATTAGTGTCATTAACTGTTATTAAGTGGAATGTTTTATATAATTGCTTTAAATTATTTTAGGTGAAACTCTTTGATGGAAGAACATTTATTGGTGTTGTGGAAGATGTGGATTTGAGATCAGATTTGGCTACGATCCGTATCCCTTGTGTAAGTTATGCACAGTCACAACACATTCTTATTTGTACATATACTGAAATCTCCATTTAATATTTCTCTCAGTGTAAATGGTGTTGAAGTCCAGACTGTGGAGAAACTTATATGGAAAAAATTTGGTTCCTGGTTAAAGTGGCCTGAACCTTAAAGTGGCTAGAGTGTGAGGCTGACCCACTTACATCCATCTAATGCTGAGTTAAGGATGAGTGGAGTTGTATCTCCATTCTCCAAGCATGCCTTAATGTAAAGTTCACACACATGGGAAACATAACCTTTATCATACTAGAGGTTGTGTGGATATCAAGAATAATCTGGAAAGGTGGCAAATCAAAAATATCTATCTACAAGAATCAAATCTAAATCATTTCAGTGATGGATGTATTTTGTGATTACAGCATGATCTTCCTGTGGTGAAACTAGGTTCATCACGTGCAGTGAGACCTGGGGAGTTTGTGGTGGCAATTGGGAGCCCATTAGCACTGTCAAATACTGTTACAGCAGGCGTGATAAGCTCTGTGAATCGGCCAAGCAAGGAACTTGGTCTGAAAGGCAAGGATATGGACTATATCCAGACTGATGCATCCATTACGGTACACATCAAGGGTTTGCTATCATTCAGCATATGACTTCCTGTTAGCTGAACACATTACTCCTTCTTTTTGATATTTTCTTGCACTGAGCATTTGTGAAGCTTTTTAGGTTCTTGAGTAGATTCTTATGTCAAGATTGTGCTCCTCAAGGGGACGTGACACTGTGTAATCATTAGGCATGTATCAACATTGCAGAGGTTTCTCCAGATTGGTATTACCTATAAGCCAGACTAAACAGCATCATATCTCAGAAGACTGTAATCTTGAAATTCAGTCCTGTGATAACCGCAGATCTCACATACATTCACATGTATTCCTTGCCACATTATTGCTTGGTTATGTAGTTCATCTCTGAAACTGCTGGTATTCCTTGTATTTCATATCAAGATTCTTCATATGAGTTGTTTAATGTACGTGGTTTTGGTGATGTACAACTGTTCTTCATGAGCCTGCTCTTTCTCTCTGTAGGTTATTTAATGATGCTTTCAGTATCAAGTGCCAACTTTAGTGGATAGAGGGTGTCGCGTGGTCAGTGCAGTGTATCCCCACAGCCGTTAATCTTGGTTTTCTAGGCTGGAGCCACCATTTCCTTGAAATAGCTCCTCAGTTATGCACATGAGGCTGAGTCGACCCCATTCCAGACCCACTGCTTCTCAGAAAAACTAGTAGCGCAGGCAATATAACCCGGACCTCTGGATCTGTAGCCAGGAACTCTGACCACTAGACCACAGAGACCCTAACTTTGCCGACAAGTGGGGGTCGTTCGGTCAGTGTAGCTCACTTGTGGACTGAAACCATGGAGTTTTGTTTGTTTGTTTGTTTGTTCAGTATCAAGACTATAGCATTGGATGATGGATGAATGCTGAACTGGAAGGAATTTGCCAAATGAGTGTACTATCCCAGCATTTGTTTAGAGGGACTGAGGAAAAACATGAAAAGCTGTTTTCTGAGTTTGTTGTATCAGTTATTTTGACTGGGATACATGTATGTGGAACCTCTGAAGCTAGCTTGTGTTTTGTTTCCCTTTTAGATTATTTTCCTTTGCTAAGAAAGAAAGGGTAATGAGAATTGATGTCTGTGTCATGTGTCCTCACAAACAGCTCTTTAATTAATAGATATTCATGAAATGTGGTATGAGCATCATATTGCTGCATGTACTTGTAGTAAGTCCTTAACCATCAGAAATATAGATTTTGTGACTGTGAGAACCTCCAAGGTAGGATCATCATTAATACAATTTTATACAATATCCAGGCATTTTGTATTATAATACCACTTAAAAGAATATGTACCTATTTCTCTCTCTCTCTTAAAAAGAATACAGCAATGTGTCAGTTACACAAAGTTTGTGTTAGGTTTTGGTTTGATGGGAGTAACTAATGAACTATGGGAGATAGGCACCTGAAATTTTCCATGGATATTGATAATACGAGTAAGCTAACCATTCTCTCTGAACATGTATAATGACTGCATGAAAGTTACAAACATGGCACCTTTATGAAAGTCTGAAGTTTTACTTCATGACTTTAACATAGAATCCATACTAGTGGAAATTATGCAGAGAAATGGATACCTTAAATTGCAAATGTTAACTTCTCTTTAACAGACTGAAGCATTTATAGACATCTAGTCCTTGTAAGGTCTTCCCAGAAATTCTGGTCTCTAATTTGGAGCATTAAGTGTTATTGTGTATTTCACTTAACAGTTTGGGAATTCTGGAGGTCCACTGGTGAACCTGGATGGGGAAGTGATTGGCATTAATGCAATGAAGGTTACAGCTGGTATCTCATTTGCAATACCTGTAGATTATGCCAAGAATTTCCTGCAGAAAACTGAGGAAAGACGCAAAGCTGGAGGTAATTATAAAACTGGGTATGCACGTTAAGTTTCCCAGTTGAAGAAATGAGAATGTCTCAAATTGGCAGTAATAATTTATTTAAAAATAGGATTACCTTGCCAATTGCAACTGTCATGTTCCTAAAAAACACTGCACTTAGCAAGACTGTAGGCTCATGGGAACTGGTGCCACTGTTGACACTAATGAAAGCTCACCTTCAGTAAACAAGAAATCAGTGTGTTACCTTGGAAATATAGTTGGTTCTTTCTTGGTACATCACTGTTGGTTGCTAAATGCTGAATGCTGATGAAATTGTCTGACTTGGAGCCAGTTTTGACAAAATTGACTTAGTATTTGGACCCCTGGTGCATGTACCATTATTTTCCTGAAGATACCATCTGAGCCTTTTTATTTATGGCGATGGTCTCCATAAATTCCTGAAATTTAATCAAAATCATTGGAGTTGCTTCTGAGAGAGTTGCAATTTTCTGTTTGGGAGCCCATTTGAAGGGTGTCTGTTTTGGGTTCTGGCGTGTTCATGTTCACCAGGGACTGACTTTATGATAAATACATTCTTGAATATTGAATACGAATAAAATCTGTCCAACTGTCAGGCACTAGCAAAGCTCAAGTTCATCCATATATACACACTGACACCAGCAAAAGCAGCCAGCAGCTTGGGTTGCTTTTTGACAATGAAGGTAAAGGCAATATATCCCTCCAAATTGTTGTTTATCTTTTGCTGGGGTACATGACATCATGTCCCAGAAAATAAGAACTCTTCATGAAGACCACCATGAGAACCTCAGCTCCAGTATAAGGTTACTTCAAATTATGGTTGATTAAAGTTCAGTAAACTGTGTCTAGAACATCTTTGAGCTTGTATCATCAATAGATACTGATGCAGATCATTACATCATCATTAGAAAGTTACTGCATTCTGTTTTCAGCATGATGTGGGAAACAAAATTGCCATTGCAGAGTTTTCGGCATGATGTGGGAAACAAAATTGCCATTGCAGAGATCTTGTTGAACACACAGGACTTTTATTCTGTAAGGATGCTTACTCAAGGTATGATCAGCCTCAAAGATGCTTTAGACAGAGTGGTGAGTGTTTTCTGGACATTGAAATGTCAATGCGGTAAGCTATGAAGGGTTCATCTAAGTTGTTACATTTCATCGCATCAAAATTAGGTACTGTGATTTACCAATGCAGTTTCATACCTAAGAATTCAAATTGTCTCTTGTAGTATGTATGGCCTATGCAAGTGTCCTTCCTTGTTATAATGAGTTTTCAAAGTTGAGACTATTATACCAGCATGAATTAAATATAGCTAATGTTAGTTTGGTGTGTTGATCAGTTTTTGTTGATATGTGCCATTACTGTTTTTTGTATGTGGCAGGTTCTGTGTATCCTACAGCCCAGCGACGCTACATGGGTATCACAATGCTCACATTGACACCACAAATAATTCATGAGTTACAGGCTCGTAACCATCAACTTCCAGTAGATGTCACTCATGGTGTGCTTGTTTGGAAGGTTGTCATTGGTTCTCCTGCTTATATGTGAGTATGTCCTCATGTCAGTAACACCAACATGGTAGCAGTACAAGTGACATTTGTGAGATTTCACATATGGCAGACCTGAGTCCCACCTATCTTTTTATAAATGATTTAATTGTCACTTTGTTCTCAAGCATTCTGTGTCTGTCTTTTTCCATTCTAATGAAAGGCAAAGTTCCACACTTATGCATAAGTAAAATTATAGTATTATGCATTTTAATCTTTGTGTTTTTCAGATAGGGCAGTGCAAGATAAGTGATTCTGAATGGAGTGGTAGTAAATATTAACAAATTTAATCTGCTGTTAATTTAATCATGATATAATTTATTTGTTATAAAGTGCTTTATGTTATTCTAATTTACAATATAGGGGAGGATTGAAACCTGGAGACATCGTGACACATGTGAATGGTTCCCCTGTGCATGCAGCAAGCAACATTTATCAAGCACTAGATTCTGGTCAGCCTTTGAAGATGATCGTGGTTAGAGGAACCCAGCGGTTACAAGTTAACATAATCCCAGAAGATGGCTAAGATAATGTGTGTTCATTTCCTGGTAATATATGGAGTGGAAATAAAAAATAAATAAATCTGTTGTATTCTGTTCTTTACATGGTTTGCATATCATACCTTTACCAATGTCTGTTTAGCCATCTTTTTCAGGCTTTGTGAATGAGCATGGTAAATTCACGATCAATACTTAGACTGTATTTCACTCTGTCAGGCAATCCTGTTCAGATATTGTCCTGTACATTGATGAGGATGTGGGGTTGGATTGTGAGATAGCTGAGAGTTTAAGTAACTAAATGAAGGAACATGTAAACAGATACAGAATAGAGAAGGGAAAGAGTGGGCACAGACTGTATGAAGTATTGAGGTTGCCTCAAGCGCTGTCTTGTGCATAGATACTTCAGGATAGTGAAGGAAGTAGAAGTTTTTTGTAGAAGATGTCTTGTCTTTGTGGAAATGTCAGTGAATTGAGCTTTATGACTGATTCACCATGAATGTTTTAGGTGAATAAATTTGTATATTTATATTCCACAGGATAGCTCAGTAAAATGACTGGATGACTTGGGTTCAGTTGATATCTGAGGTTTTTCTATTTGTCACCTATTTAGAGACACACCCAGCTCCTATCCAATATGTATTATCTGCAGTTCATAGATTTGGCATCTTTTTGTAATTACCATCATTTAGATAAAGATTCTGGACAACTTTTTCGATAATGTATGCCTCCTTTAACCTATTTTACTTCCAGTGTATTCCCATTTTTTCTCACCGGTCACCATAATATAGTCAGTGCGCTCTGGTGGTAGTTAACATGAACCCGAGATGTTACTTCTCCAGTTGCTAAAACCACTCTAATGTCCATGGAGCGTATCATTCGTAGCGTGAAACACGGCACGTTGGCAATTTCAATTTTAACGTCAGCTGTCAGTTTTCTTAAATTGTTACTGGCAGTGTAGTGTCGGTAAGCGACGTGTGGCAGTGGTAATGTGTAAGGACCGGTAAAAAGAAAGCGAAGAGGTTAACGGTACAACATTAATTTACCATTTCGAATAATTTTATCAAATGGCCAGTATTATACTTGGAGGAATCGAAGGGTAAGCCTTGTTTGCAATATATCTTGTGTTAGGATCTGGCACGCCATTTATACTATTTACGATTTATTTTATTGGTATATTTAATATAAGATATATTTATAAGAGTCTCCATACTGACTAGGTTGCTTTTTGTTTCATGTCATCTTTTTTGCTATTACTGATAATTGCAGCACAGTATTTGCCATTGATTTCCAAGCATGGCACTGACGTATGTGAGTTTATGGAAATTGTGATATTGTTATAAATCCGTTACGAAGACCCTTCGCCGCCTTACCGCCCAGCTCGGTTATGGGTATTGCAGTTAACCGCTGGCAATCATCGCTCATGATTATTATTATTATTACATATGATTTGGTGTGCGTAATTAATAATTTTTACTCCCTAATCATGAATGGGGAAATAATTTATTATTCATTGCTGATTTCGACAGTGACTGTACGTCAGTGGCGTCAAAACCGCGGTCCGTCAGATATTGGGGTGCGGCACGCGAATGTATTCCGCCGACGAACAACAAAAAATAGTGTTTAAATCAATATTCCAAAATATTTGTAAAGAAATATATATGTTATTGAAATTAAAAACGGTTATATATAAAATACAAGATAACTGCTGCATTTATGAAGCAGGCATTTAGTTGGCAGGTGTTGATATTTAATATCCAGTTATTGCAATAAGACGAGGTCAGCCTACAGTGCATATACGAGTAATCACTTTTGTTGTCAACTGTTCTTTGTCTTTTCCTGTGTGCGAACTTGATCTCTTGGACTACTAGAATTATTTTCATTTGGTAATTTGAAGTAAGATTATTCTGATGGTCGAAATGATGGCTTCGAGAAACCAGATGTTTTCGAATTATCATGTTGGTTTAAAAGTTCTGAATAGTGTTTGGGAAACTTCAGACGGAGTGGTTGTACAACGACGTTTATCGTTACTAACACTGTACCCGCAGTTTCTGTGTTACCCTATAAAGCCCAGAGGTTTCTATACGTACTATCTTTTTCAAAATACAAAAATTATGCATTTTACCCGCAGAGTATATTTATGTGTATCATATGATTAACACAATAAATAGCATTAACCATTAGGTATTTGTAGCGGAGACGTATTGTGTTTCCTGTGAGGTAGAAACAAAATTCTTTATAATAGTATCATTCACACGAATTTAAGCTTTTAATGGGTTAGTAGATGACAGCGCTTTTATATTGTCGCGTTAAAAATCAAGGAGACGAAAAACGCGACTGGAAGGAATACATGAGAATTATTTTGAAGTTTCGCGCCCGTTGTTAATTGTTATTAACGACATTTCACTTCAGTAGTGATGAATAGAATTCGAGGGCGTTAACATTATCCACAGAGTAATTTAAAAATAAGTTGTTGTGGCCTAGCATGGCTGCAATAAATTCAAGAAAAGTTATTGAAAATGTCGCACATTTAAAAGTATTTATTTAATTGTATTAAAGAGGCTGCAGCCTTCGTAGATTGTAATTAAAATGCCCCGGTTTTAAAAGAAAGCGATGTTAAGGGACACTAGAAGACAAAGCATACATCGGAGTTGAGTGACATTCATGGTCAGATAAGAAGGCACAAAATAACCAGCTTCAAAACCTTCTTACGAAATAGCAAAATTTATTCAGAAGTTGAGCTTTATAATGAGACATTGCAGTGCCTGCTAGTTGTATCGTTTCTGAAATTCTCGTCCCCACAAAAAGAGAATAGGTATTTATTGACTGAAAAATAATAAAAGAATGGTTGGAGGCGGCTGCTGAGGTTGCATTTCCTGACAAAAGAAAAGAAAAAGAAACGCACCATTTCTAGAATGCGTTCATGAAGGCTCACCGATGGAAGAATAATGGAAGAACTGTATAAGTCAACGTTGAATACAGCGTAAAAAGGAATGCCGCAAGTTTGCGAGTTCTTGTCTGCAGCAATGGACGTGACGACTTAACGACACAGCTGAACTTCGTGATCTCGTTCGTGGAGTCGACACGAGTTTAGTAGTATAACAGGAACTCAGTGTCTTAATGCCCACGAGAACCACTACATGTGCAGATTTGTATGAAGTCAAAATGTGCTGAAGAGTGTGGACATCCAAATGCACAAACCAGCCGGACCACTGCAAGCATGGGCTCCACCAGGATTCTTTTCCCGTGTGTGTGTTTTGGGAGCGGAGGGAAGCCAGTTTGCAGGAATGGGAATCCAGTTTTCCAGGGGGGGAGTAAGGGTAAAGTTCTTCCTGTGCTTATCTAATTAAGCACTACGCCATGAAGGCGTATGGTGGAGTGGATGTATAGATCCACATTTTCTTGACCTCGGCACTAATTGAAGGTGAGTGGTCAACTTCACGCCCCTGCCGCTTTATTCCCGGGGAAAGAGCCCCCGGTACCCATTGGATAGGAGGTTGTGTGGACCCCAGAGCCAGTCTGGACGATTTGGAGAAGAGAAAGTTCTTGCCCCAACCGGGACTCGAACTCCGACCCCTTGGTCGTCCAGCCCGTAGCCAGACGCTATACCAACTGCACTAACCCGGCTCATTTTCCCGGGGGGGGTTGCACAAAACATTTGCTTACAAACGTAAATTGTTTAAAGGCTGTTTTTGATGGTCTTACAGTATTCGTGGTAAAGTAATATTTTAAAGAATACTTTTAATTATTGTTATTGATACTTGGTATTTTTCCATCTTTGCTTCTCATTTTTTTTTCTTCAAAATTCTAAGCAGATGTCTGGTTCCACCCCTCCCGGCGCTCGAGATATCTGAGCTGCCTGCTATTTGCTGGTTGCTAGCTTGACTTACTCTTTGAACCAGAAGATAGAAACGGTACGTTTCTCCGAAACTTCTGCAGACTTCTACGAGGTTGCATCACGTCACATCCAAGAAAACTGTACTCTTCAAGCCTCCGCAATACCTAACCACATATTGTCATTGCGTTCCTTATCATCAGGCACAGAGAGACAAGATTTGGCGGAAGACTGAAGACAGAAAACACCTCGTGTCTTTGTGTACCTAGTGATAAGGACGGCAGTAAATATAAAACTGCGAAAATATGTAACTGATAAGAAACGGCTACAGTTAAAATTACATGAATATAATTAAGTTTATGACACTCCTTGCCGGGATATCTCACTATATAGCGACTAAGCTACGGAATGGACGACCGAGTAATCGGAGTTTGATTCCAGGCAGCGGCAAGAGATTTTTGGAGACCGGCTCTGGGGCCCACAAAGCCTTCTATCCAGTCGGCACTGTGGGGTCCTTCCCGGTGGTAAAGCGGCAAGGCTATGAAGTTGACCGCTCACCTTCATTTAGTGCCGAAGTTAAGATTTTTTTTTTCCTTGGCACTACAGCCCCAGTGGGCCTAGGTCTACCTCCATGAACTTCCGTTCACTTCGGTTTTTCTTGATCTTAGACATTCGGTAGGATCCCTTGGGCGGGTGATCAGTTGGCCGCAAGGCCTCTACCTGTGCACAAACACAGAAAAACGCACACACACAAACTAAACATCCATGCCCTGAGTGGGATTCGAACCCACGATCCCGGTTTCAAAGCGAAGACAGTACATGCCTTAGATCGCTCGGCTACCGTGACCGGCCGAAGTTAAGAATACATGTGGCTATACATACATACATACATACATACATACATACATACATACATTTCATTTCACAAGTCCAAACAAATGGACATGAAGGTCGTCATACAAAAATTTAAACAAACACACAGATAACAAAATAATTAAAACTAATTGTTTATGTTATGCTCCACGTATTCAGAAACTGTATAAAAAGAATTCTTCATAAGATATAAAAACAGCCTATTTTTAAAACTAATTCTATCCTCTTTAAGGCTTTGAATGGTTATGGGCAATCTGTTGAATAGTTTAATGGCAGTAAACATAGTACCTTTCTGAAAAGCAGAAAGATTCGAGTTTGGCAAATATAATGGCTTTCGATTTCTTGTATTCAAACCATGAACATCTAAACCTGAACAAAATTTAGTTTGATTATCAATCACAAACATCATCAACGAGAGAATGTATTCACATGACAATGGCAGTATATTCAATTTCTTAAAAAGATCCCTACAAGAGTCTCTAGGTCCTACTCCAGATATAATCCTTATTACTTTTTATATATACTTATATTCCCCCCATACGCCTACATGGCGCGGTGCTTTCAACTTCACATTCACGTGAGCAGCACTGTCCAGACTCATACTATGGGCTGCGTTGTGCTGCCGTGTGTTTTAAATTATCTGTTTGAATTTTTTAATTTACGGTTTTATGTCCTTGTTTGTTCTAATTCAAGATGAAATGTCCACATCTCTGTAACATGTGATTATACCAACCCAGGTCATTGGTATTAAAAATATCGACAGATGAAAAATGAAAATAAAAATAGAAAATAATATTTACGGTCTGGGTTGCCTGATAGCAGAAGGAGTGGCCCCCTCGTTCGGGGCCCAAGCTTCTCTACCCCCACTGCAGTTGTTTCATCCACTCCCGTCCGATTATCTAAGCGAAAATAGCGGCCTGGTTCGACCGAGGTTCGGAGTGGTTTTCTCAGTGCCTCCAGATAATCCTGTAATTAATTGATGCTTGCGTCCTTCACTTTCATCTTTTCGTAGCTACAATTTATGTCCCTCAATAAACATTAATCTGAAGAATTTCCTAAGTATTTCTAAGGAAAGAGGAGACGAGATAGCGTAGTTGGTATAGGGACTGGCTACGGGCTGGACAACTGAGGGGTCGGAGTTCGAGTCCCGGTAGGGTCAAGAATTTTCTCTTCTCCAAATTGTCCAGACCGGCTCTGGGGTTCTGTGCTTGAACGTTTATTGTTTCAGATACTTTCTCCATTACTTTCAGTCAGTGCAGTAGGAAGAAGACTTTATGAATTGTACCTGGAACCCATTTCAATTGCCTACTGTCAGTAACACTAAGATGGTGAAGTCAGAGTGGCACTAGTATCACCATCTCTTGGTCCATACCTTTACAAAAGTTGTTGCAGGGCTTCTGCTGAAGTCACATATCTGCTGTATTAGCAGCTCGTTGACTTATTTTGTCTTGCTCTGTGGGGGGGGGGACAGTGAACATTTGTTGCATTGATAGCTGAATTAGTAAAATTAATATCATTAACCAGATATAAGTTGGTTGGATTTGAGGTTCTGACAGCAGTGACTATGAATATTATTATCTCCTGGTATTTGATGCTGTAGAGTCTGGTAGACGTTCATTGACATTCCTCCAAGACATCAGTGAACTTCCACTGGACTGCATGATGGCTCAGCCCAGGAGATCATACTCTTCAGACTTGAGTACATTTTGTATCTTATTTACATGATAAAGTGACAAGAAGACGAGGAAGAAGACGTAAGAAGATGCTGGATGACCTTGGGGACAGAAGAGGATACTGTCATTTGAAGGAGAAAGCTCTAGATCGCATTAAATGGAGGAATTGTTTTGGAAGAGACTGTGGACCTGTCGTCTTGACAGATTACTGATGATGATGATGATGATGATGATGATGATGATGATTACATGATAAATGTTTTCAGGGCCTGTTTCTGGGGTCATTGAGGTTAACAGCGATAATCATTTTTGATCTTTGATCTCTTGTGGTAAGTGAATGTTCACACTGAGGCAATGTGTTGACCCAGACACTCCCTTATAGTGTAATATACAGCCTAAAGTTTCGGTGAATATTTGTCATCAGGGCTGTATTGTTGGTTGCACTCTAGCATATGTTACTAAAAACTTCAGGTGATGATATAAGTAATTCGTGCCATAGCACACGTGGTTAGATGCTGGGTTCTCACTGTGGGTCATAGGGTTCAATTCCAGTTGGTTTCGTGTGCCATTCATGGTGGATGAAGTTACACTGAAGCTGCTATTCTGTGAATGTCTTTAGTTCCCCTTCCTAATTGTCATTCTACCATTGTTCCATGCTCACCTATCAGCAGCCCCTGAGGTGTGTGGTCACCCTGACCAGGCAGCACAGTATCACATCCATGGTCTTTAAGTGGGGGCTTCATCTCTGACCTGGCTCTTTTCAAATTCTTACTGACTCTTTCTTATCTTTTTTATGTCTTCCTGTACCTGTCTAAACAATTTTATTTTTGGTTGTCTCATGTTTCTCTCCTTTATCTTTATTTCTAATACCCATCTCAGTACCCTTTTTGTTGTTTTGCAGGGGTGCCACACATTCAAATCTAGTGTTGTTCAATGGAAATGGAGAGAAACTGGCACAGGTTGCTGGACCTGGAACAAATCACTGGGTATGTTGACCCCAGACATTCTCATACATTTTCCTATAACTGTATTGTAAGTTTTGGAACATCCATTTTGTAGCTTAAATGCTTTTGGACTTAATACAGAGAGAGTGAAAATTACTTGAAAAATATTTCAAATGAAAGCTATATACCTTAATGTGGTCTTACTTTAATGCATTTTATGGTTTATATATGGGCCAGGGTGGCGTAGCATAGTTAGTGTAGCGACTGGCTATGGGCTGGATGACAGAGGATTTGGAGTTGAAGTCTCAGTAGGGTTAAGAATTTTCTCTTCTCCATGTCATTAAGACTGGCTCTGGGGCCCACCCAGCCTCCTCTCCAATGGGTACCAGGGGCCCTTTCTCCAGGGTAAAGTGGAAGGGGTTNATCTCAGTACCCTTTTTGTTGTTTTGCAGGGGTGCCACACATTCAAATCTAGTGTTGTTCAATGGAAATGGAGAGAAACTGGCACAGGTTGCTGGACCTGGAACAAATCACTGGGTATGTTGACCCCAGACATTCTCATACATTTTCCTATAACTGTATTGTAAGTTTTGGAACATCCATTTTGTAGCTTAAATGCTTTTGGACGTGTGGACACTGGGATCTCTTTCCCCAGGTGTAATGCAGCGNCGCCTCCAACTAGTGTCGAGGTCAAGAAAATGTGGATCTATACATCCACTCCCCATATGCATTCATGGTGTAGTGCTTAATTAGTGAAGCACAGGGACAACTTTACCTTTATGGTACAGGGTAGCTCAGTGAGTGGAAATTGGCTGGATGCTCAGGGCTAATTCTCACCGGGGGCTCACCCAACCGTCCACTGTGTGGACACTGGGATCTCTTTCCCCAGGTGTAATGCAGCCAGGTTATGAAAGTGACCCCTCAACTCTGTCAGTTTTGGTGTTCAAGAATGCCCTTCCAATGCAGTTTCTGAAATGCAGTGTTCTTGCAGAATTCTAGATGATGGACAGAGTCAAGACACATTTTCATTGAAACTTTTTTTGAATTGACTCCATGTTTAGTTTATTGTACGTTCTGTGCAATGAATGCGTCATAATTTGAAGTAATTGTTTTCTGTAATCTGTGTGTGGTGGATTACAGATCCTTGGGATGGAAGAGTGTCAGAAGCGAATCAATAAAATGGTTGAACAGGCGAAGCATGAAGCAAAGCTTCCTTCAGAGAAACCGCTTAATGCACTGGTGAGTGATACAGCTGTCAGCTTGTTACTTTTTTTGTGTTTCAGATTTTGAGGCTTTTATGGCAGCGATTATTCAGGTTGTGCTTTCCTCGATTGTGACACCATGTAGTCTTGTAGGTTCTCAAGTTCTGTGTGTATTTCATTATCTCTAACTGTATTCCCATTTATATGTCAGAATATTTCATTTTTACCACTTTCATTCATCCCACCTCTGGTTGCTGTGCCTATCTCCCATTCTGACATTGATACTGCACACTTAAACACTGATCAGCTAAAATGTTATGTGCTACAGGGTATGAGCCTGAGTGGCTGTGAACAAGAGGAGACCAACAAACAGCTGAAGGAAGAATTGCAGAAGAATTTCCCCATGTTGAGCAGCAATTATGTGGTCTGCAGTGATACTGTTGGTTCCATAGCAGCAGTGTTAGAAAATGGTATGTACCAATATTAACCCTTTCCATTCTACAACATGTCTCACTCATCAAGGGGCATTATGTCTAAGTTACCATGGATATAAATAACATAAGGAAATTTCATTTTATAAAACTGCATGGAAAGGATTGCACATATCACAAATTTCAGAAGTGTGTGTTGATGTTTCCAGATTTTCAGTCTCAGAATGTGAACTTGAGTATTTTGGGGGCTGACTGGGTTTGGAGAAGGTTTCCCCTCTCTCCTGCCACCTTATTTTCCTAACATCCCCCACATGAACACTTATCTTGCAGTAGGCTATGGTAGTTTCTTCCCAAACCTACCTAGTTCATTATTCACTTTAATCCTCTGAGTTTGCATTATGTGACATATACATGGCAGGCTGTTAAATAAAGCAAAATAACCATCTTCGGTGTAGTACTATTTTACTGTTGCAAATAATAGCAGATACCTTATTAATTATGCCATGTGTTGGATGGCTAATTATGTGTTTTAATGTTTCCAGGTGGAATTGTGCTGATTGCAGGAACTGGCTCAAATTGCTTATTACTCAACCCTGACGGCTCTGTGCACAGGTGTGGAGGGTGGGGCCACATCATGGGGGATGAGGGTGCTGGTGAATATCCTCATTGTCTTGTTCTTGTGACCTATGCATCTAGGTATAGTCTTTGGCTATTCTTGCTTCCTGTCTACCCTGCAAGGGTGAAGACAGGAGTCCACTTTTCTTAGATTGGAGCACCTAGTGGTAAGATGTACATTTTGCCTTCTAGTGACAGGGTGATACACCTTGACTTACAGTCTTTTAAGAACTTTGGCCTCTCTTACACTGCTGTTCCTTCTTCTGTCTGGCATCCATCATTAGGTGTCTTGTCATATATTGTTTTCCAAGGTGAGGTTGTTAGCCTCACACACAACCTCTGACATTGAGAAGCAGGGGCTACCCTTTGTCTATTCCCTACCATTAGACCTGTCTAACATGGATGAACCTAGCAGGAGTTCATGCATGCATTATGTGACATGTAGATGACTTTTAATGAAAGACCCTGCTCAGAACATTATTTTGAGCATACATTCATTTGCGTATGTCTTCTGCTGGCCATCACCACTACAAATGGGTTTAGAGGAGTTTATCCTATATCCTCCTTATGATGATTGAGGCATGCAGAGGCATAGAAAGTTGAGTGAACCATAACTGGAGGCATGTTACGTAACATTTTCCTTGCTTGACTTAGCTTCATCGGGTTTTTCAACTCATGAAATTTGTTCTCAATTCCAGCATGGTGGATCTCGCATAAAGCTATAAAGATTTGTTTTGATGAGCAGGACAACTTTTCCCAACCACCACATCCAACACAAGTAGTCTGGAAGTCAGTTCAGGAACATTATAAAATTGAGACTAGGTGAGTGGATTTAATTGGGAGATGTAGGTGCAGATAGCAGGATACTATTAAACTGAATCTTAGTAAAATATGGTGCAAAGGTGTTCACTGGATTCATCTGGCTCGATAAAGGTGAGATCTTGTGAAGAGAATAATGATTCATAAGGTTCCATGCAAGGGTAGTGATAGTGTACTTGGTTGAGGCAATATGCTACAAGCCAGAAGGTCATGGGGTTAAATCCTGATGCAGTGGATTTTTTCAATTTACCTCATCCTTCCAGCCACACTATTGCCCTGCGATCGATTCAGCCTCTAACAGAAATGAGTACTAGGAATGTTCTAAAAAAATATTCTTGGGGGTAAAGGGCGGCCGGTGTGCAAGGCTGACATCCTTACTGCCATCTATGAGCCAGTTGTCTGGAATATGTAGAAACCTCAACATCTCACAACCCTATGGGCCTCCACGCCCTGTTACAGGGATACCTTTACTTACTTGCCACATGGGATTTCTTGATTAGGAGAGTGACTAGAGTTTTCTTCATGAAAATATGTTGTGTGGTTGAAAAGTATTATGGACAGCAGTTGCAGTCATGCTGAGGTCATAAAGCTATCTTTTCATACAAAATATTAGAAGGAGAACCCATTCTTTGCTTGGGATATGTTCACTGTGCCTGTCCATTTCAAATTACATACCAGCTAAAACTTTTAAAGAGGAACAACGTTCAAATTAAGAAATAAAATTTATGCATATAATTTCAAAAGAATTTGGAATGAGGATTCAAATTGCACCCCAAATCTGTTCCACAATTTTTGCACATTGCTTTAACAATTACGACTGCTCTAGTTATCAGGTAGAGTAAATAGTTAATTTCATAATATCTTCAAGTTTTCTCCTTAGATTCGCAGAATGAAACACAAAACAGACAAGGAGGGTATGTATTAAAATGTATCAGAAGAAATGTCTGCCCAAGAACATATAAATATTTGCTTTGCATCAGTAACCTTCAGTTGCTTTAGAAATGTGATAATTCAGTGAATATCTGTGTTGTAGATTTTATCTGCCAGACCGCTGATATACTAAATTTAGTGAACATCTGTGTTGTAGATTGTATGTGCCAGACCACTGAAATACTAAAGTCAGTGAACATCTTTGTTATAGATTGAATGTGACAGCCACTGATATACTAAATTCAGTGAACATCTGTGTTGTAGATTGTATGTGTCAGACCACTGACATACTAAATTTAGTGAAAATATGTGTTGTAGATTTGATGTACTAGATCACTGCTATACCAAATTTGACAAGTGTCACTTTGCTGGTCTGTGTAAACTCTTGGCTAAGGCAGCAGTTCAGGGGGACAGGCTTTCCCAGTGGTTGTTTAAGGAGGCGGGCCGTATGCTGGCACGCCATATAACAGCACTTCTTCCACAGGTAGACAGGGTGAGTATATGTCAGCAAAGAATTGAGTAGACTACCATGTAATGGTTTAGTCTGGCTGATTATGTGTAATTTGATGCTGTTGAAACTGAATGTCAAATGAGATGAGAGAAATTGGTCAAGTGGATTGATTGATACATAGGCTGTGGTCTTATGAACCTCACTGGCCTCTGCATATATGAGCAATTTATCAAACTTCATTCAGTAATAAATTATAATAAATAATAGAATGTATGCTGAGAAGGTCTTCACATAGTGTTTTATTTGTCATGGTTCCTTCTCATTTTGCTCTAGAAATTGCTGAATGAACCAGGAGGACTTCCAGTAGTGTGTGTGGGTTCGGTATGGCTCAGTTGGGAGTATTTGAAACCAGGATTTATAACACAGTTGAAGGAAGGTGCAGCCAAGCTCCAGAGACTATCTCTTCTACGTTTAACAACAAGCATAGCGACAGGTTCAGTGTATCTAGCTGCCAAGGAAATACATTTTGACTTGCCAAGGGACTACACACACAACTATGAAATTTTCTTTACATATAATGGTGATCAAACTTAAACTGTAATTGTATATTGACAGTTAATACTGCATGAGAAATATGAATCTATGTAGTCATCAAAACATTTTTATTATGAAACTTGTAGAGATCCATCATTACCATTATGACTTGATGTTTTGAGTTACAGGCCAACCCACATATGTAACCAGAATTGAAACTAAATAACAAAATCCCAGGGAAATAATTTGAAATGAATCCTGCTTGTTTTTCAGAACCATTACCCTTTTGCGAGATATGGAGTTCTCACAGTGTTGAATATGAAAGAGACAGTCTTCTGGGATGTGATGCAGTATAGTCTGGTATATATATACCATTATTTCAATGGAACATGCTTCTTCAGTCTTCAGGATAGAAGAAGGTAGTCTGCTGGTCTTCTTCTGCATTAAAAATTGAGTTAACAGGCTCTTCTAGAATTACAAATACAAATCACTCCGTCCAATGTGACCTGTAAGTTTTTTACTACATGAAAACTCAACACCCTTACATGTTTCGGTCTCTGTGGACCACAGACCAGAGACCGACACATGTAAGGGTGTTGAGTTTTCATGTAGTAAAAAACTTACAGGTCACATTGGACGGAGTGATTTATATTTGTAATTGTTAATGTGACGGACCAGAATGAAACAAATCAAACTCTTCCAGAATGCTAGTACTTATCTACCAGACTGCAGAGCATTACATACAGTAATTTTGTCCCTTTAATTCTGAAGTGAAAGTTTTTTCTGTGTATTTTTCAGTTTTCTTCAGAGGCATTAAAATTGTGTATCTTGAACAATTTTGCATTGCCCTGAACATTTCAGTGATTCAGACTGCTGCTGTATATTACTGAGAAACAAGGTGTCCTTTCTCTGTCATTTCCATAGTATGAATAGCAAGGATTTTCATGTGCTGAGAATTAAAACAAGCAGTGATATATTCTGCGGTGCTCACACCATCTATTTTCTATCATGTCTGTCACAACTATGTATAGATTCTTTTTGAAAGTAGTGTTTCATGTGGTTGTCTAATTTGAATGTGTTTATAACAAGGTTTGAAAGGGTGTACTCCGTAATGTTGTAACCAACATGGCATTTTTTGCCATTCATTAAGTTTGGTGGTTTGTTTATAAAATTTGGTGGACTTCCTGATATACATACAAATGCTCATTTATGACCTTAAAGTAAAATTGATTTTATTATGGGTCTATATGGCCAGTAATTGGAATTGTCTGATAATACACTGAAAGTCTCCCATATTGAATTTTAAGAAATCTGTTCAGTATAAGACTGTTCAACTCAGTTATAGATGGTTAGACATGATCTTTGATATTATGTAACAGTGTACTTTCAACCATATTGGTTACACAGCATTGAAAGTGAATACAAATGATGAACTGGGAAGGATAGGCTACATGTGGGCTGAGAATTTAACCTTTGATCTGCTGATAAATGGCTGGAGTATCACACGGTCTGATGTAAATGTAGTTCTTTCTAGTATCTGCAGGATTATCAGAATATGACTTCGAGAGTTGAGCTGCAGCTGTCTTCATTACTGTAGTGTGTACTGAACTGTTACTATAACTCAGGTTTTATAATGCATTATGCAGTTCAAAGCGCAAATGAAATAATGGTTACCATACATGTATCAGTATGAGCACTTAGCATCTGTTATGTGTTCAGTTTGCTTGAATCATTTTTGTTGAGTTTTTAAAAAATGGTTCATTGTTTAATCAATAAAATTATAAAATCATCCATTGATATTTCCACAAGGATTGATTCATATAACAGATACTTCATCACTCTGGCTCCCTGTAATCCTTTATAACCATGTTCATACCATTCAAACTTTCTTTTACATTTCTTCACATGGTCATTATTGCCCATGGTAACCCAAAGGTTCAGTACTATGGTCTTTGGTATGTATTGGCGTGAATTTGCACAATATACAGAACAGACTGTAACATTCCTCCCATGGTTAACGAAACCAAACCGTGAATACTATATGGAGGGCTGGCCTATGGCTCGGCATGAGGCATTATACGCAATATTCATTAATACATGTATACTTCATACAGCCATGGTACTACACAAGTTTATTTTGTTGTGTAGATTTGGGTTAGGTTGTTTGTGGTTGATACCTATCATTCGCGCAAAACAGATGAACAATTAATTCGATCATTCTTTGAACATTAATTTATGTAATGACAATCGATAGCGATTTACTTTGTGGCTTATGGCATCTGGTGCAGAATTACGAGCATTACGAGAGATATATGCATGCTCGACTACGGTCGATATACGAGAGGCTATCGATTTCGTCGTTCTTGTGCATAGTAATTTTGTTTGAATCGTTTGGATTGACAGATCGAGTTCGATATGCATTGATAAACACGCAGTTATTGTGATCGGTTGTGTTGATTGTTCATGTAATGTCTATTTTTAGCGTTTGTGTTTTGTAGTCCATGTGAGAGGAAGATGTGGATTATTTAGATCGTGTAGATTCGAAAAGTAAGGTTATATTCGTCATAATACATTCAGTATTTATTTTTCACCTTTGTGGTTTGCTGTAGACATGATAGGAACATTTAGATTGTTTAGATCGTGTAGATTCGTACAGTAAGGTTATATTAATCATAAATTCCGTTGTCATAATATGTTCGTAACATTTTATAGCTAGTGAAAAAGTAAAACACGAACACACCAATTATGGCAGAAAAATCAAGTTCATTAGACGATGATGAAACGAGTTGTAAACAGTATGTGATACCCTCCAACGAGGAAATAATTAATGAATTGACCAAAGACCTGCACTCTTCAAGTATCGAGGCTGCAGAAGACACTAATAGTGTTCGTGACAAACACGATGAAAGAAAACTGGAGAAGGAGGACATAAATGTGGGCAAATTTGAAGAGGATATAACCAAGGTTTCAGCTGGGGATTCGGATAAATCTGAAAATGAAGAGGATCATGTAGAAGTTGAAGATGATTTCATTGATGAAGAAGCTTTGAAAGACTTTGAGATAACATACAGTGCAGAAGACAAAGAGGTACTGAATTTATTCATATATATGTTGGAAGTTGAGGTTACATTACAATATAGAGTAATGCTAATTGTCCCAAAGCTTGGAACCTTGCTTCTCATGTTGCATCTCCAGTAAGGCTTTCAATTAGAATAAATGTATATTTAGGTTGCAGTAGTACTTTATTCCCCTTTTATATGATAAATGTGCAGGTTTTGTGGCTGCTAGTGGAATGCTGCAAGGGGGTTTAGCAACTCATTATATCCTATCATTTAAGTGAATTTGTGTTTATAGTGCATTGACCTGTTACATTTCTTTTGCTTGTAATGTATTTGTACATACCATTAACTGACTGATGTATGTAAGTTTACAAGTGAAATGAAATAAATATCCATGCTAATATTTCTGCATAATCTTATGCCCCCAGTAAATCAATATTTTATGAAAGGTTACATTAGCTTAATGGAATTTATATTGTATTTGTAATGGGGTCTAGTAATACTAAACAAAAGCTACATTTTATGAGATTATATTTTGGTGCATTCCAAAGAGGCCTAAATATGCAGCAACTTCTTAATAAGTTGCATCCTGTTAGTGTAATTTAACGGAGTTTACAGATACAAACCTGTCACAAAAAACGAATAATGATAATAATTATGCCTTGTTGATATTTTTCACTTCAATTGCATGTTTTGGCTCTAACAGCATCATCTTTCTGTTGGTCAATACATAAATTGCAAGATTTATTACTATTTTGCAGTAGGTTGGCTTATGGTGTTGGATCCATCACTAAATTCTATACTATATCAGAAATGTTATGTAATTGATGATAAGGTAATAGTTAAAGTGTAAAAATAGTTATACAATGTAAGTTACTGTCATGAAAAACAGGAAATAATATTAAATTTAATTTTCGCTGTTTAATATGTTAGAGATTTGTCCAGATCATAACATTTTAAAACAAAAGACCAATGAAGATTTAAAAAATTGTAACAATGTGGTGATATTTTTCCAGGAGTACTGTTTTTGGCATGAACTGTTGATGAAATCTTGGCCTATCAGCCATGTCATTTGGTTAAAAATTACTAACATTTCAGGGACCATCACTGTCCCCATCATCCATATCAGACTCTCCACATAGTCAGTCTTGTGGAATGTGACACAGTGTAGTGTGGCATACCATTTCACCAAACTGTGTGGTGACACCAAACAGGCTGGTCCAGCAGTAGTGTTGTAGACTTGTATTCAGGAGGTTCTCAGTTTGAATGTCATCTGGAACACCAGCTATTGTCACAGGGATTATTCATGGTTTTTCTGAATCCTTCTATGCAAATATTACCTAAAGTATGTCATGGCCATACATAATTCATCAGTAATAGTGACAACTTGTAAAATGGCTTAAAAAGAAAAATATATATGGCATGAATCCCAGAAAACTCTAATCTTAATATTCACTGCCTTGAGGACCTCAAATTTTTCAAGCAATTTCTGTGTGTTACAGTTAATTATACTTAGTTCTCGCTTCATACTCTTTGGAGAAGGTAAATTTTCTGTTGGATGGAGTTTTCTGTTTCATTCTTTTATGTTTATGTGTTTTGTGTTCATAATGATATGCATCTTGTTTGTTAAAGAGACTGCGTAAAGAGGCAGATACATTAAAGTCAAAAGGAAATGAACAGTTCAAGGCTGGAAACTACCGAGACTCAGCACAAAGCTACACCTTAGCATTAAGAACATGTCCCTTAGCTTTCGACAAAGATCGTGCAGTTATGTACTCAAATCGTGCAGCCACCAAGGTAAAGCTGGTAAGTGTACTCTTACCATCAAGAAGATAATAGTGTCAGTTGATGAAGTTGGACCTTTTAGTGGTGGGGGTGAGTGTAAGTTCATTAGGCTGAAATAGCTGTGGGGTTTACAGACTTTAACTTGATTGTCTTGGATTGTAATGCTGACCACTCGCCTCCATCTGGTGCTGAGGTCAGGAATGGTGGAGCAATACCTTTGCTCCCCCACACATATTCATGGCGTGGTGCTTAAGCAATTAAGAGTGGGGACAACTTTCCCTTTTTCCTGTACATAGCTTTGCTGTGTTCGTGTTTCTTGATTTCTAAGGCATCTGCTAATGGTTTCAAAAAGTGGTATGTCATAAGTGCCATGTGAAGATTTAGAACACGTCTCCATGCACAGGTGCACACCACTTTAATGTCTGCAAGGGGGTAAACATCATCTGAAATTTCAATGTGCATTCCCCTTTATGTAGATGTGATGTATGTCTCCAATGTGCAGGGTTTGAAGCCTTCGGCTATTGAAGATTGTTCCAAGGCAATAGAGCTGAACCCCGTCTATCTGAAAGCGTACTTCAGACGTGCACAGTTGTATGAAGAGGTGGAGAAACTTGATGAAGCTTTAGCTGATTACAAGAAAGTGCTGGAATTGGATCCGCTTCACAGGGAAGCTTTGTATACAAGCAGAGTAAGCTAACCAAGAGGAATTGTTTATGATTAAATTGTAAAGCAGGCAGCCAGTTCTTCTGCTCTGCTTCAACAGATTCCAATTCCCCTCCCGTCCCTATTGTAGCTGAGAGACTGTACAGGAATGCCAACCTTGGATGAACTTTTTAACAGCGGACCATCAGCCCTGTACAGAGGGTTACCTCCCCACTAGCAGCATCTCGTGTTGATGAGAAGCATAAGGATGGGTTACTTTACTGTACCTTTTGTTGTGTAATGTAATTTACATGTAGAGGAATTTTATGTACCTATGTTTCTTATGCCTCACAGTTCAAAATATAAGAACATTGTTTCATGTGTAGTGATGATAGAAACATATGTTTTGCATAATTCTGTTCATTTTATAATGAATTTGTATTAATATCTGGTTGCTGTTCTTCTCACAATCACAGTACAGTGGAATCCCCATTTGATGTTCCTCAGATTAAAGTTTTCCCTCATTTAACATTCAGTTTCATTGCTCCAGAGCAGTAATCTCAGCATTAAATTGCTTCCATTTAAGATTTTCCTCAGTGTAGTCTTCAAAACCCTTGCTCCCCAGAAACATCATAAATATGGGTTTCACTATATATAGTAGCTAAAACTGAAGAACTAACACTAAAGTTAAGAAATCAAAGTATATTGATGTAATTAATGAAACCGGATTAAAATCTCATCAAAGTATGTGCTGCAGCTACCATACATACTGGCAAGAGTATGAGTCAATTTGTAATATCTTTGGGTGTTTCCTGTTAGGCCCATGGTATGAAATGTGAAACAGAATTGACTTGTGCAGTATGGGCTGGGGTAGCTCAGTCAGTATGCATTTTGCTGTGGGTTCAATAGTGAAGGTTTTGTATCCAGCAGGGACAGGGCTGTCTTCTCTACTGCCACGTGCAGACTCACTCTGGGATCTACCCAGCCATCCATATACCAAGTAAAACAGCTGGAGGTCAACTTGATGAATCAGCTCCATGTGATGCCATATTTAAGAATGTATTGAGCTTTACTTCTACCCCATGCACCCTCGTGCTGTGTTGTTTACATGTAGAGACAACTTAACCTTATGTTTGTATTTTCTGTTGTGATGAAACTTAACATTGACGCCAGTAAAACTCCTGCTTCTTATTCTTGAGATAACATGTTTGAATCTTCACCAGATATTTTTTGATGTTCCTCAGACCTCCCATATATGACTTTAAGATAAGTTATGACTGCACCCTACCCATCCTTTCTGATTCAGTGTTCGCCATTACCTTGCTATTTTCTCCTATATGTGAACAGCTTATTCAGTTCATATGTCTTGTTAAAATAGACCAAGAAATGTCTATGCTGTATCTGTCATTTGTTAGATTTTATTATGTTTCATTGCAGAGATTGGCTGAACAGATACAGGAGAGGAATGAAAAGTTGAAAACAGAAATGTTAGGTAAGTTTAAAAAATGGATGTAATTGTTTGTTCAGGCTCTGAGGCAGTGAGAACCCTTCAGTTTCTGTTTGTGGCCTTAGGAGATTTCTTGTATTTCATTGTGATCAGTTATCCTGATATGCTTGAATTAAAAATGTGAGATCTGAAATAATAATTCATTCTCCATAACTTGGGGAGAGACTAGAACTACACTCTGGTTACACAAAGCTAAACTGTGACTAAACTATCTTTGAGGGTCTATCATCATCATCATCAGATGATGATGATGACATAAATCATTAGGAAATAAATAGAGTTTATTTTCAATATGCAGTGGGAACCAAAATTTTCATACCAGAAGATCGCACAGGGCTCCTTTTCTGTAAGATTGCTTAATAAAGATATGATGTACTCTCAGAGATGTTTTAGACAAAAGATGCCATATTAAACAGCCTTATTCACTGAACTGCTTGTATGTATAGTATGCTGTTTATGTTATTTGTATTGTGGTGTTTTAGGTTGTGACACTGTGTAGTCTGGTATATGTGTACCATTGTTTCATGGGAACATTCTGCCTTTGTCTTAAGGGTAGAAGTTAAGATGAAGGCAACGTGTTTCTGTGATGTGATAGTGCCTGCCTTCCCAACAGACTACACAGTGTCGTAACCTGGGAGACCACAGCATGTGTAGAATTCATCAGTGTACGTGACTTCGATTGGTACTGTTTTTTGTTATGGTATAAACAATGTGAAACTCCCATTTAAGGGAGAAGCCCTTAAATTGAGAAACATTAAATGGGTAGAAAATGTAAAGAATGGCTGATACTGTGTAATGTTGTAGGCATATATCTGATACACTTTGCAATGGAAGCTCTGTGCATGCAATAGATGAACCTAAAGGCCAGTGAAGAATGTAAAATAGCACGTTTTAGAGTAAACTGTACCATTGTTTGTTTTGCATTTGTTTCTTTACATGGCTGATTTGGTTCCATGGCTCAGAAATTTGCAAATCATAATAAAATGCAGAATGCACACACAATAATTTGGCTTGGAGCTTACTATAGACACTAAAAAAAATCACTTATTTCTGTTTTTTTCTCTCTTTCTTTTAGGAAAATTGAAAGATTTGGGTAATATGATATTACGTCCTTTTGGCCTCTCAACCAACAACTTTCAAGTAACACAGGACCCGAACAGTGGAGGATACTCTGTTAATTTCCAGCAGACACCTCGGTAAATGTTTCCTGTTGAATTAATAAAGAAAATGCATCTATGAGTGAAGAAATATGACTGTGATTATCACCGCAGTTTTCCAGTCTGTTAATGTTCATTCATGAGAAGCACAAAATTGTAGTTCAGAAAATATTATGGCTTACAGCTGAAATTGTAAGAGTATTTAATTTTCATATCATTGCTTGTAATATTTCTCTGTATTAATATGTATCCTTGAAAGTATATTACAAGTTTTATGTGTACTGTGACATATTAAAAGAAAATGTGTACATTGTTTTGAAATAATTGTGCTAATATTGTTTTAATTATCCCAGCAAAGTTGTCCATCAGTTGACCCATTTCCATATTTATTCCAGATCCTTCTACACCTAGATTTTCTTCCAGAAAGAATGTTGTCATTACTCTAATATGACTAGTGAATGATAATACATTTTTCTAACATGTCTAAGAAGATAATTTTAAATTTTACAGTGTGGGCTCCACAACTATGTAACATTGACCCATATTTAGGATTACATCCTCTTGGGATATGTAGTTTAGTACATAGATATCAACGTTTCAGAGGAGTTCTCTGCCTCAATCTTCAGGTAGAGTAAGCTCCAGATTTCTCTGAAACATCAGTAGTTGTCTGCCAAAGTGCATGACATCACATCCAACAGATCATAATCTTATCTTCTGCTGTGATGAGGACCTTGGATCTTACATAACTCACTTAGATCAAGATAAGGTCCAGAGGTAGATTCTTGTGAACAGAGTGCTGGAGAGTCTGGGTTCATAATGGGCTGCGAATATATTGGACAGCTGGGAGACCTTCAGCTTCTCAAGCATGTCTTCACTCCATAGGGTTAGTCATACAGTAAACTCCCAGTCAGCAGTAATTTCAAAGAGAATTTCCATTTATTAACGTTATTCTAAGGCACATTTATGATGCTCATATGTTTACCTGCGACATGATAGTTCTCCCAGCCAATACTAGCAGCGCTACCCATTATCATCCTTTACACACTTGTCATTACAGCAGAAGGTAATGCAATTTGTAGCCATGTTTTAGTATACATATCTGAAGTCTGTCTACCACCAGTCCTCTGTTGGCTAGGAAGATTCTCAATGCAAGAACTAAAGCAAAAACATGTTGCTTTGGTGTACTGCAGTTGTGGAAGGGTTTCTCTCATGCGACCAACACACACTATTTCCCAGGTTTTCTGCATGCTTGTAAGAGTATTAGGTTCATTTCCATTCAGAATGGAAACACTGTGTGCAGGTTTAGTTATGTGACTATGAAGAAGGCTGTGTTCTGATCTTTGAATGTGGGTTCCTGGTTCAGCAAAGTTTCAGGAACTGCAGTTTTATTTATTTTTTATTTGCATTTCGTATGTTAATGACACTGTCCATAGCTGAGACTGTAGCATACAGTGATAAAGAAAATGTAAAGGTGAATGTATCCCTGTACTTAATTAAGTACCATACTATGTAAACATGTGGAGCAGTAGCTCCCTTATTTCCTAATCTTCAGCTCTGTAACCTAGCTGCTTTACCACTGTGGGAAGAAGCACTGATGCCCACTGGACAGGTCACTGGATGGGCGCCAGAGCTAGTCTATAAGTCTCTTGTCCCCAAATGACTAGAACTCAGATTCTCTGGTCATCTGGCATGTAAAGGTGGTCTATAAATGTTGCATTGGAAAGGCAAAGGAAGCAGTTGTAACATGATGTGGAGAAATGTTCTGGCATTTTCTGAAGACACTGAAGATAATTATGAAAGGTCTAAGTCAAGATAGCTTGTCTCCAGACCGAGGTATAAAACTGGGGCTTCTTAAATATGAAGCCAGAGACCTCCCCACTCAACCATAGCATTCAGTCAAAGTTATGTTGAAAACTATTTAGATAAGATCTCTGAATCTGCATGAAATATTACAAGGCGGTGGATAATAGTTCTGTAATATTACTAAATTAAACATGTTTAGATGGGCCAGACATATAGCATGCACACTGGTGTTGAAATATGCCTACACAATTTTATAGTATAGACCACTATTCAGTTATTCAGTATTGAGGGTGTGGGTTACCCCATGCACCGCGACCAGTTTGATCTATTGTGCGTTCCCCTTTGAATTTCTACTGTCTCCATACCCTACCGGTACTGGTGCTTGCTATCGTTCCCTTTCTGCCAGCGAGGTTTCGGCCTTCTACTGGCAGTGGTATCTGATAGTCCCTTTCTGTCAGTGAGGTCGTCCCTCCTCTGGCAGTGGTACCTAAGCTCCCCCATCTACCAGAGGCATTGGAAACTACTTGGATGGGAAATTTGCCTAATTTAGCTCAGAGGTCTCCTAGAGACATGAGGTTCTTTTACGTGCCGTAAATCTACGACACGGGACCCACGGCTTGAAGTCACTCCTGGAGGACTTGTTCCCTGAATTTTTCCACCCTTAAAAATTCCATGACCTCCGCCGGGTTTGAACCTGCGTACCTTGAGTCATGAGGTGGGAACGTTACCCCTAGACTACGGAGGCCACTTGATCTATTCATAGAAGTCAGGATAATATTAAAATTAGTCTTGGAGAAAAAGAAAGGGGCGTGAAAGTGTAGACTGGAATTGATCAGTAGGGCCCTCTGTTCACTGGTGTGTTTGGTATTATTGGTTGTGTCAGACCTTCAAGTTTTACTGCCACAGAATGGATGTGATGACATAAAGAAGAATCCTGACATCTGTCTCCTGTTTATTATCTTTGAACAGACTGGTCATTGTGGTTGAAATGGTACACTCCTTCAAATTCTGGAGGCACCAGGTTCAAATCAAAGCCACGAGACCTGCTGTCCTGGGGTCCTGAGTGGTTTCCCAAAATTCGTCAAGGACAATGCCTAATTAGTACTTCAAAGTACAACTGCTTTCTTCCGCATCCTTTCCAAATCACTATTCACCAACAAATCATTTCTCGCTATCTAGTTTGGGCTATTGAAAGTAAGAAAGTTGTCCCTGCACTTAATTTATCACCATGACATGAAAAGATATTGGGGAGCGGAAGTATAGCTCCACCATTCTTAACCTCTACACTATATGGAGGTGAGTGGTCAGCTTCACTCCCCGGCCGCTTTACCCGTGGGGAAAGAGTCCCAGAGCGGGTCTGGACCATGTGGCGGAGAGAAAAATCCTTGCCCTTTCCGGGAATCGAATGGCGGCTCTCCAGCCCGTGCTCCGTTGTTATACCGACTGAGCTACCCCGGCCCCTAATGAAAGCGTTGTTAAATAAAAAAAACGTTTGAGCAGTAGATTTTATCAATAAAGTAACTCCAAGACAAATGCATGTTGACAACTCATAAAGAATGGAGAACACTTTCCAAGTCGGCTTGGCGTACGAGCGGTTTCCCATAATCCGGGCATTAAACCGATGAGACCTGTGTTTGTATTGAATGAATCATACAAAGACCCTCATGCAGTTCAGACCGTTCAGACTGAGATCGATACAGTCCTACGGTGTATACGTATGTCGCCTGCGACCCCCATGTGCTGCCACCTTCGTTTCCTAATGCGTAATACGATTACAGACGAAGAAATTAAGTTTGTGTCCTGTATCGAAAACAAAAGACGAACGTCACTTTGTTCAATTTGCCAACACGGCGCCAAAATGGCGTCGACCTGATTTTTATGCCCTAATAATCACTTAAACCTATATGAATACATGCATGAAAAAGTTCCAAAATATGCAAGTAAAAAGTTCATACCGAATATTAAAATGAATTTTACATTATTTTAAGACCAACAAATCAACATTTAAGTCAATTTTATGTAATCACTGAATGATTCACTTGCAATGAAAAGCTATGCTTAAATACAAATCATGCAACAAAGCCAACATTTTTCATTACAATTTAAAAAACCAATGGCGCTCTCCAAGTTTTCAATTTCTCTTCTGTTACAGTTCACAATTACTAATATTTTAGGTTTTCCATAGCTAGTCGCTTCCTATTGTCTCGTAAGATGTCCTTATAGCGGGAAAAACTTCATTCAACCTCACAGGAGCTGAAGGGCGCATGTACAAAAGCCGCTATCTGCTCCGCTGTTAGTGAATTTTTACTTGGTAGTTCAGTGCGTTTACCGGCTAAAATTTCTTCAGTTTCACAAATTTGCTCATACCCTGGGTTTCGTGAAAGAATGCTATGTACTTTTTCCTTTATTGCTTCACTAACTCTTCTAGGAATCGAATTCAATTTGGAAACAGTGGTTTTTGAGTACACTTAACGTTTGGTACAAAGTAGTGTTATTATTGCTTGCCTCCAGTGAGGAAATGGCGGATGGAAGATAGGAGAAGTGAGTAGATATATAAGAAAGATTAGTTACTAGTTCTGCGTTTTTTAGTACATCTTGGGCAGTTTGAATTGATGCTGCACTTTCGGGATCAAATGTATTCACGACATTCCTAACTGTTACTGATTGTACGGTATAATAACTCACTGCTCACAGCCACATGCCCCAGCGCGTTAAAATTGGTTCTGGCGGAAGTCGAACGTTTGGTGCTACTGCTTAAGGCTTCTTTTTTATGTGGTGCTCTAACAAATACCTTCTTCACAGAAGACACCAACTTGTCAACAAGCGGAAAATTTTCACGAATTGTTTCTGCAACACGGCGCAACCCACGGGCAAGTTGAATATGTCATATTTGGAAATATAACTTTAAGGGCAGTACCGGCTTTGATCATATAACTTCCGGCATCAGTCGCAAAGAGAAATACGCGCTCATACAGAATGCCATTTCGCCATTATAAATTCATGGAATAGATAAAAAAATTCGGAAACTGCGGAGTTATTTTGGTTTCAAATTTCTCTACCACAAGAATATATGGGATAGACTGTTCATTCTTATAGGGATCCAACTATAATATTTGCAATAAACCGTCCCTCACAGTCTTCTGTTTCGTCGATTGATACCCACACAAAATTATTTTGAAGCTTATCTCTAATGTTTTTAATTGTAAGATCGTAACACTGCTTCACGTAATTTTTGCGTACAGTAGATTCATCCGGCACTGTGCGCTGTGTCACTTCTGTATGAAGTTTCTCAGAGTAGGACTGGTTAGTTTCCACAGAGGAATATCTGCCGCTAAAAAGGCTTCGCAAAATTCAAAGGAGAACCGTAAATAACTAATTAGAAAATTCACTAAGCAATTTTTGAACAGGAGCACTTTTAATATTCCCCTTGTATAGATTATTGTTCAAATGCTGTAGCACTTGAAAGCGTTTTTCACAACCAGCTGTTTTTTCACACTCTCGGCAATAAAGAATTTTGTTATCCGCTGTTATCATCTCTCCTTCGAACTCCCGCTGATACAGCTGTAATTTAGTTTTCTGACTTACAAAGAGGTGAACAAACTTAACCACAGAATTAGAGTTGGGTGAGCTTCTTGGTAACTTCGCTGTGAACTAATATTTCACAAACCTCTTGGGATAACCCAATAATAATGGTTTATTTGAACTGCGTAGTGACACTTCCTCCACTCCAGACATTTTGATTATACCGCCACGAGTCGGTCGTTAGGGTCTCGTTTTGTGAGAACAGAGTGTACCACATGAAATTGAGGTTCATATTAGAGGCAGGAGACCATGGATATTGCGCTTCCTACCTCTTATCTTCTCTTCCAGGGTTCAAGGAAGATTGTGTGATGCTATCTCCTAATCTTCAATCACAAGAGCGATCTCTTCTTCCTTTTGCCATGCCATCGATTGCAATGGCGTTTTATTCTCTCCTTTTTTGTTCTCTATTCTGCACCTGATTCCTTTCTGCTTCTTTCCCTTTCTGTTTTGTTCCTGCAGTGTTCTCTTCATTACACTGTGCATCTCTTTCCCTCCTTTACCTATTCGAACACAAGTACAATGTGATAACATACAGCCCTGTACAATATATAATTACTGGGTTTTTGGAATTCTTCCATCGTCCAGAATTCTAGGTAACAGAGGACACTCTAGGTAGTAGAGGACACGACGTTTCGGAAACAGAATCTGTTTCTGTCTTCAGGTGAGACAGGAAGACACATACTCAGTTGGGCCCCTTAGAAAGAGCTGATCTCAATCACTGGAGATTGAGATCTAGTGTCTTCTATTATCTGGAGTGTCCTCTATTACCTAGAATCCCGGACGATGGAAGAAGTCCAAAACCCCAGTAATTCTGTGTGTCATCCACCATCGTAAGAACCCTTTAGAATCTACTAGTCCTGTACAAGTTCACGGATATTTCGAAGGATTATACTCGTTCTATCTTCAGGGTCAAAGATTACGAGAATCAAGCAGCCAGCAAGAAGCAAGTACTAAGCCAGTATAATATTCTATGTCTCAAAACATTTTTGAGAGTGCGTAATCGTCAGAGAGCGGCGCAGAACATTACATCTCTGTTATAAATTTAAAAGGTTTTATATTCGGTACACGGTGGGAACTGAAATCGCCACGCCGGAGAGCGCACTGAGCACACAAGGCTGCCTGCTCAAATTGTGACGTCATGTAAAAAATGCTTTAGACAGAATATACCTTGAAATAATGCAATGTTCTCCTCTATATCCGTAACTATACACCATTCATGACCAACTTGCCTTTTTGTAAAATTACTATAAGCTCTGAAATAAGAAGCTTCGTTAAACAACCGAAACACTCATTCATCCACCTTCCACCTGTCCGTGTAAAAGCCATCCCTGTAACAGGCCATGGAGGCCCATATAGTTGTGAGACGTTGAGGGTTTCACATTATCTAGACAATCGGCTCACAGATGGCGGTAAAGGTGTCAGTAGTTATTCATTTTTATAACCTCATATAAACAAAGTAGTTTCTTCCAACGACGGTTTACAACGAAAGTCTTCTTACGCGTTTCTTCTTGTCTTCATTCAAGCCGTATATTTGTTTCAGCGCAGTTTGCTTGATTTAGCCCTTTAAAGCATGGTGGTAAATATGTGCACCACATGATTGAACATTTCAAATCTTTACATTTTGCCCACGAATATATTTATTCGCTTCATTTGACTCTTACAATAAATATCAATTATTTTCTTAATTTTGTTTCCTGTGAGGTAGAAAACGAATTTTCAAATATTAGTTAGATGAATTGCAGGCGTCAAAGGGTTAAATGTATTACCAAAACAGGAACCGAAAATCGCGAAGTAGTGTGTAGCAACCTGCGTTCTATCTCAGCCCGGTGACTGGTTGTCTTGACTGAGGTTCGTGCTTTTACTCAGTTCTGTATTTTTGAACAAGCCAAGAGGCGATCAGAAAAGTCTGTCACCCACCCGAGATTCGAATCAGTACGTCCTGAATGCAAGTATTATCTTGCTTCTACTATCCTGAACACACAATAGATACCCGAAATGTATAGACGTCAACCTTTTTTTAATATGGCGACGCCTGCGCCGTCCGTCCCCATTGCACTTCGTTATATGAGATTTTGTATTCATTTCGCCGGAACGCTAGTGTTGCTGTCTCGTGGTTTCTAGAGTCAGGTTCGTCCTGAAGACTCACTGAATTTCTGCAGACAGTAGATGAATGTAGGACGAGTGATTGCAACAATCTGCACCACAATTACAATACAAACTATTACATAATTGTATCGTTTGTGACAATGTTATGGGCTAGGGCTGGTTACGGAAACCTGTGACAGAGAGCACCACCCACCTCTACCGGCGGAATTTGTGCACAAATTGAAACAATTGAACGCAGAACGTTGTGATAAGTTCATGTCTCCGTTCTCATAGGATCGTAGTGGCATTGTCTTCGTGTTCCAGCATAATTGAAACAAACAACTGGTAAGTCTTTACTGTCTGCTGTTTTAATATCACCATATATATATTAAATATATTTTTACATTTAACCAACATTATTACGCAAACTAAACATAAGAGATAGTGAAGGGGAGGGAGCAAATCGAAATTCTAGATTCCGAAAGATATATTCGATTTTTGTTTATTGTTTTATTTAACGGGGCCTTATCAATTGGATAACATTGACCTTCATTGAAATTCTGATAGCATATGTTATTTTCTGTGCAAGAGTTCAAAGTACGAAATCTCGTATACAGCATATGGCCATTCATCGATGACATTTGGATAAATTACAATGATACACTCAAATTCATGAGCCTCTTTTTGCAGTTCCAGTGCATTCAAGGTGTTCTTTTTATGAGGCCTAGTTGTTTGATTATTGTTGAATTATTGAGAGGCTCAGTTATGGTTCAGTTGCAGTATTTATGTTCCTTTACCGTCGAATTAAAACGCATACTGATATGACAGAAAGCGATGAGGTTGTCACAGGATGGACTGGGTATTTTGAATCAGCAAATAAACTGTTGCCTGTACAAAACACAGCCCCACGAGACAGTGTAATTTTTTACATTTAATTGACTGGATCATTTCAGTTGTGAATTGTCTGTGCTCTTATTGTCCTGCAGTATTCCTCCTGATAGGGATTCATGTCTTTAGAATCTAAATAATAAATATCTCGCGATGTGGTTTTGTATTCAAGATCAGCCTTGTGAGAATCCGACCATTTTAAAGATGTTTTAGACTAGTAGGAAAATATGCAGCAACTCACTTTCATGGTGTTTAATATGTTTCTGAAATTACATAAATACACAATAAGAAATAACAGCAGCGAAGCCCAATGCATAATGTTAACAACATAAACGCACCGTCAAAGTATCTCATTTTAGTTGTGTCTTCCTTTATTGAAGATTAGCCATCTTGAAATCAAGTATCTGAACAGTGATTCTGATAATTTTGGTAGGTGTTGTTTGAAGCAGTACATGCTGATTGCCTCACCGCTAGGTTTGTGTCAGCAACAGACGAAGAACAGGTTGAATGGGGTATAACATAACGGTCTAAGAAAACTTGTCTTGCAGAAATAGAGCGTGCATGAAAGGGTAGTGTTACGGACTATTCACTTCTCATGAAGGACTCGGAGGCTGACACGTTAACGCTTGTGGCTTGCGTTCGGAGGGGCCCGGCTCGAATATTGGCCGAGACACAGAGTTTCCTGAGACCTATCGTGGTTTTCCTCAGGTCATACAGGCTAATTCTTGGATATTATCTCAAATTATTACAAAATTATTTCTTTCCACATCCTTCCGCATCAATCGCTAACTGATCGTCCAATCACTCGGCGCTATAGTGTCTAAGTTAGGCACAGCGTCGTTAAATACACACCCGAGAAGCAAGTCTGCAGGTCTCTGCTCCGTAGAGGTGTCTTCATAGCTACACTGCAGCAAATTGTGATGTTAATATTCAGAGAGAAGAACCAGAAAAGTGTAAGATTTGAGGCTTTCACGGCGGTGACTATGAAGAAAGCAGTCTTCTGGGATTTGGCACCGTGTATATGTGGTGTTAACCGACGTTTCGGAGGAACGTATCGCCTCCATCTTCAGGGTAGGAGAAAAAAATATAAGAAATCTGCAAGCGAAGAGACCGTGAGAACCGGTAAAGGCAGACTGTGTGGAAATATATGGAGGCGATACGTTCCTCCGAAACGTCGGTTAACACCACATATACACGGTGCCAAATCCCAGAAGACTGCTTTCTTCAACCAGAAAAGTGTTCGTATTTGAGACACATGGACCTGGCACTGTATTCATCTCACATACGAGTATTGCTGTTGCTGCAATAAAGTCAAGAAGACTGAAAGTTGACTGGACATGTAAATTCGATGACGGAAGCAGGAAATGCATGCAGAATTTGGGTGCGGAAACTTCTTGGAAACCAGTCGCTCTGAAGGCAAGAAATAGATCTAATATTAAGAATGGTCGTAGGTTATGAGGATGGGAGGTGGATGCAGCTGGCTCAGGACCACGTCCAGTGGTGGGCTCTGGAATTTGTGAGTAGCCACTTAACGCAGTGACCTCTATCTCATTCCGGGCCCAGAGATCGATCCGGTAAAGCCCCATTACTCGGGCAAGGGACAACGTATGCGGACAAGAATGGATTATCTCGAACATCATAGTCCAGCTAATAGTTTCTTAGCTAAGCACGAATTCCATTATATTTATGGACTTCCAATGTTAATTACCGTGTTCAGAAGAAACTGCCATTGGTCGCTATCTTAAGCCAGCTCACTGCAATCCATACCTATCGCTTATCATGACCGTAATATGTTGCTATGTTTGCCACCTGGCTCAGGAGGTGTCAGAGGAGACACACGGAGACATGATGATGGCAAAACCCATAAGGGAAGCAGCCTAGCAATGAAACTGCAGGCCGGGATAATCCATTGCGAAAGCCTCCGCACTTTCAACGAAGTTAAGTCGGTGGATATTATTATCGACTTTGACAGTATCCCTGTGGTTTATCAAAGGCTGAAGGCAGAAGTTTCGCTTTTAGGTAAATGACAGATGTGTGTAGATACTCGATAATATCGTCTGCTATGTAGACTACTACTGCTGGACAAGTGTAGAGGATGTGTGTGTGTATGTGGTGTGGGCGCAATCGCGCCTACAGAACTCCACGCAGTTCAAACTCTTCTATTCTTCTTGTTTCCGTTTTCACTTCACGTTTATTCTTCCGTCTGTTCTCTCTTTATCTCTAACGTTTTGTGGTGTACATCGTATTTATTTTTCATCTTCTATATTCTCTCGTGCTCGTTTTCTTTCCTTTTTCCACATTTATATTTTCGTCTTCACTCTTCTTCTGCTAATATTATCTTACTTTTATTCTTCACGTTCTTATAGTTCTTCCTTCCTTATTTTCTGCACCATTCAATTCAGGAGCTACAAATATTCTCACCCACTTCTCTCCACCACCACGTATAAGGAGCTAAAGCGGTCGGAGCTTAAATCTGGCTATTGCTGGGGTCAGAATACATAGAGCTTTACCACTATGCCCCCAGATGCCTTCATGACTTGGGTGTTTATGCGCGCCGTCAATTTTATATTTGTCTTCAACTTGAACTTTAAACATCAGTTAACTAACACAATGGATCAGAGTTCTAGACAAGCTCATAGTCCTTAGAATTACTGGGTTTTTGTATTCTGTCCGTCATCTGGTGTTATACAGTATCGTCAGAAACCTATAGTCTCTCACAGTCGATTGGCTAGTTAAGAGTTTTTAGCGTTTCGTGGAACCGGGAGATTCATTACCGTATTCACAAAGGCCCAGAATCAGTTCCGATCGTGAGTCAAATAAGACCAGACCACAACATCCCATTCTATTTATTTAAGACCCATTTTAATATTATCCTAAAATCTACATATAGGTCATCAAAGAGGTATATTATCTTCTGGGTTCTCGACAATAATTACATATTCGTCATATTTTTCGCCCTCCCATTCTTGCTACATGCCCACTTGCCTCATCTTCCTTCATGTGGTCCTCCTATTAGACTGTTTCGTGAAGCTCTTCGTTAGGTATCTGCTTCCAACCTGCCGTTACTTTCTCAGTACCCTGACGCCAAACAGCTTCAGTCTATATTCTTCCCTTAAGGCGAGAAACGAACTCGGCTCTTTACACTTTACGCTATGGGCCGTTCCCGGGAGGAACTAAATTATAGGGTAAAGTGTGAACAGTTGAACTGGTCTATCTCCCTAAGAGAACAACATAGACTGAAGATGTTTAACAAGAGGGTACTGAGGAAAATATTTAGACACAATACGCAAGATGGGAGCCGGTGTAGCTCAGTCGGTATAGTGACTAGTCTACGGGCTGGACGACCGAGGAGTCGGGGCTTGATTCCCAGTAGAGACAAGAGATTTTTCTTTTCTAACTTCCCGGCCGGCTCTGGGCCCACCCAGTCTTCTATACAATGGCTACCGGAGGCTCTTCCCCCAGGGATAAAGCGGCCGGTGCGTGAAGCTGACAACTCACGTCCCATCTAATGCCTAGACTAAGAATTGTGGGTTAATAATTCCACTCCCCATACGTCTTCATGGTGTGGAGCTAAATTAGTTAAGCCCAGGGATAATTTTACCTTACCTGCATAATAATATCTGCACGTCCCGATTGTCACAGAGCGTGGGTGTGATATTCACTTCATAATAACTGCTTTCTGTTATGTCGATTTGATTTAAGAATGTTTTTATTAGAAGGTGTCATGAGCGTTGAGTGGACGGACCCACGGACACACGCAGTGGCGCGATCAATATTCTGCGTGAGGAAACTGTGTCTCTCTGACAGAAATCTAGCCGAAGAAGGCTTCCCCTCCGGCCAGCCCCTCTCAATCTATAGAGTTCCCAGAGACGTAGGAGGCATCATCATCATCATTGTCATCAGATAGTGAAGTAGATCGGTAACGTCAGAATTAGGAAGGTACTGGGTTCTCATTAAAAACACAGGACTCTTCATAATTGGCGTTACATACCCAATATATCGCTTTAGTCATAAAATGAACATGCCCCCGTGCTTTATACTTTCCTCCCCACAATGTGATGAAGTTGCCGTTATGTGAATGGATTAAGCATTACGCCATAAAACGTGTGTGGCAGTGGAGGTATAGCTTTACCATTCTTGACCTTGGCACTAAATGGAGGTGAGTGGTCAGCTTCACGTCCCTGCCACTTTATCCCAGGGGAAATGGATCCTAGTATCTGCTGGAGAGGAGGCTGGATGGTTCCCAGTGCCGGTCTGGACAATGTGGAGAAGAGAAAGTCTTGTCTCTTCCGGGAATCGAGCCCATAGCCCGCCGCTATACCGACTGAGCTATTGTGTAATAGCCTCTTCTAATGTAGTGAAACGTGTGAAGCCCCACTTAAAATATGAACATTCTGCCCGGAAGAAAATTTGGCTGAGAACGTCACACATTGATTGGACAAAGGAATGTTTCAGTT